AGTCAAGAAGGGCCCTACCAGGTCAACGGCACTGTAGAACCTGTGGGAGGACAGGCCATAACTCTCGTACGTGCCAGAAAGATGTAGAAGAAGATTCTCTTTCAGATACAAGTAAGTCGTACGAAGCATCTATAGCTAGTGTAGAGTAATCTAAGTTTTCGTACATGAAGTTCGTGATGCCAAGAAAAAGTGGCACACTCGGTGATGTGGCCCGCTCGGTGATGGAATACGTTAGTAGTTAAGTAGTTATTACGTAACCTCTTAAGAGGTGCTTATTAAGTTTAGGCTATTAAATTAAGCAAAAATTTAACTAAAAACAAAATTGCTTAGTAGTCTTAGCGTTTAAGAATACTAAGGCTTTAGCTACTAAGAGCTAAGTAATAGATTATATACTCTATTTGTTCTATCTATTTATATACCTAGCAGGTAATAGGAGCCTGTTTGAGTTTGTTAATCTCTATTAGAAGTAATACTATCTCTCTTTCGCGATTCACTAGAAAATCATACTCGCCTTTACTGGCGCAGTCAAGGCTAATCCTGTTCCCTAAGGTAGGTCGAACACACTGCGTTCCCAGAATCCCGCAACTCAGAAGACGTTAGTAAGCCTCAGCTAACGTCTACTTTGTAGGCACATTCTCGCTTGAGCCTTTGCCAGGTTCTGGACACGTTGTCAATTCATTGGACGAGTTGGTCAAGTTGAGGCGTAGACACGGAGTCGATGTACACCCCAAGCTCTTGGAGGCTGCCAGGGTGCATGAGCGCACCGTGTCTTCGCTGCAAGCTCGAAAGGTCACCGGATCCAGCTTTGGTACTCCCTATGACAGCTCCGCCATTTTATACCTCTATCCAGTCACCATTGGCGGTAAAACCATGCGCGTTTCCTTGAGCACTGCAAACTCCGATTTGTAAGTTACTAGCGCTATCTACGTATCCAACACTTCAAGCTAATCTCGTCAAGCTGGGTGTATTCCTCTCTGCAAAACAAAACGCAGCTTGAGGGCCACAACTTCTACACGGTCAACCCTGACCACATCAAGAAGAGCTATATCTTCATCACTGGATACAATGGTGCCTCCGATTACGATGCAGTTGGCCGGGTTTACACAGAGAAAGGTAAGTACCATATTCCGGATCGTACTAGTTCGCAGCGGAGGATACAGAGAGTTACTATTCAAAGTTATGGTGAAGCATCAATAGCACTAACTGAATGCTGTAGTCACGATCGGCGGTCTTACAGCTGAACAAGCCGTTGGAGCAGCGGTAGCAGTCTCTCAGCACCAGTTGAACACCAAGCGTAGGGATGGCATGGTAGGCCTTGGTGACAAAACGCTCAACACCATCCAACCTGACTCTCAGAACACGTTTATAGACAACGTCAAGTCTCAGCTTGCCAAGAAAGTCTTTGCTATTACTACAAAGATAACTGGATCCATCTTCGACTTTGGCTTCATCGACCCCAAGAAATACACCGGCTCTATTGCATGGGTTGACAATTTCTTTGAAGAAAACTGGTCTGCATACGGTTTCTACGGATCTGGATTCAGCGTTGGCCCTTCCAACGTCAATATTACCCCGAGAAAGATGAATATCCACCTTGATAGCGCCAGCACAGTCACCTACGTTGACCCTGATATCATCACCTCGTTCTACGGAAAGATCAAGGGAGCAAAGTTCGACAACGACCGGCAATATTGGACCATCCCTTGCAACAGTAACCCACCCGACTTTACCGTTGTGATTGGCGGACAAAAGTTTGTCACCCCTGGTTGTCACCTCATATCCATAAATATTGATGACTCGCACAAAATGTGCATCGGTGGCCTCCAAAACATTGGTGGTGGAGTTGATTTTAGCCTCTTTGGCATCAACTGGTTCAGGGGCAAATACGTCGTTTTTGACGTTTCCAGCGACAAGGTTAAGCTTGGTTTTGCAAAGGAAGCTGGACAGTAGCTCCGGCACTGCAGTGTTTAGACTAAATCATGCCCTCACTTTTATTCTATACACTCCTTTGTCAGGAGAAGTTACCCAATTATGAGATAATATAATAGATTCATGTTAATAGTATTCATATGCTACGGAATGGGCAAAACTTAGCCACTCTTCACGTAGTCAATGCTATCTTTACGAATGCCTCCCTTTTGCAAAATCCTTTTTATAATCATTCTGGTGTGATACAATGGTTGGTAAGTCTCTATGTATCTTGAATACGTAACTCTTGCGAGTAGTACGGCACTGATTCCTCGTCTTATGTTGCTAGGGGGCAGTGTGGTAATTCGCATGCCAAGGGTATCAGGCGATATAGATGTAGTATGGTTGCATGCCAAGTTGCATGATGAGCTTAAATCATTAACTAAGCTTTCACAAGCATATGGGCTTGATTCTTGTATAGATGGAAGTTCAACTGCTATCCCTTAAGTGAATGGTGCAACAAAAACTCTTTGAAGAAGCCTAAACCTTGCCTAGAGTTCAAGAATTCGTAAAATCCAATCCAAGTGGTTCTATCAGCATTGGGGATGATTGGCATAGTTTGATTAAAAGTGCAGCTTTTTTAGAGGTCTGATATTCAGAGAAGCAGCTTAATTGGGGTAACTATATTAATAATAGAGGTTGCAGGCAAGTGGTTAGTTATCAGGGTATGTTTGCTGGAACCTCTTAGACTCTAGAGAACTACTTAACAAACCCTACCCGGTAACCAATCCGCAACTAAAAACTCACCGGTTGACTAGACAACCTATCCACAACTCGATAGCTCATCCATGACCAGACAACCTACCGATAACCGAAAACCTATCCGCAACCAAAAAACGTCTTAGTAGATAGATAACTTACCAGATAACTTATCCAGCAGTCTCACAATAGCTTGTACTCACTATATTTACTACCTTGCTAGAATCTCCAATACTTCTACACTTCCAGCCAAGAATATGTTGTTTTTATTTCACCTCCACCCTTACCTCATAAGAGGTTAGGGCATCTCAGAATAACATGGAGATGTGTTTCAGCTCGAGTCTAAGAAATGGACCGTTGAATTTGATACCAAGCCACCAGTCCCTCCTCAGGTGGGGGGCGGAAGATCCCGGCCATTTTGGGCATAGACCAGCCGGGTGTCTCACCACCCGACCGACCCCTCATTGGTTCAGGTCCGCAGCATTCATAGCATCATAACAACACATTGCACTTCCTGCTGTCCTCGCCTCTACGTGTCCCTACGCCTCCGAAGAGCACAACACTCCCTCTCTCTCTTGGCTTCCCTACCGCAGCTCCAGCTCGTAATATGGTATCTACGCGCTCACATCCCCAAGGCGACTTCCCAGCCGGCGATCCGTCACCCACTAAGAAGACGACACGATCATCGCGCAATTCGACCGCATCGCCAGCACCAGACTTCGATATGTCTCCAACTGGTGCGAAATCGCTTGCCAAGCGCGCAGCCTCCAAAGTCGCTGCGGAAATCAGCCCTCCTTCTCCCAATGAAATCAACGAGCCCACTTGGTGCCATACAGCAACCAAGCTGACCATTGTTTGGCTGTGTATATCGTGGCCCCTCGTCCTTTGGGACTGTCTATACATCCTGCTGCGACCACATACAATGGCTGGCGGCATACTCCAGTGGCCGCTATGGTCACCATACGAAATCTACGCGGAGATTGATTATGTTTACGGATGGCCCGGATGGGAAAGCGGCGACGGGTTTGGCGCAGCCCAGGGCGTGCTGAATGCCATCGAGGTTATTATGTACGGTCTCTACGCCATGATTATCTACAACCACGGCATACCAACTGCTCACGGCACTGGCATTGAGGCAGGCCAAGGCGCAGGCGGTTTCTTTGCCGGCGGTTACAAGGTACGAGGTAAGACGGGCAATCGCGCAGTCCTCCTTGGATTTTCCGCCGCCCTCATGACGCTGAGCAAGACGCTGTTGTACTGTAAGTATCTGCGACATGTAATTTGGTCGACAGTCAATTGATAACAATAGATTGTAACGAGATCTTCTCGGGCTTCGCTAACACTCGTCACAACGATTGGCCCACTCTGATTGCATTCTACGGTATCATGAAGTAAGCATCCGCCTTTTTTTTGTGCCAAACTCCCCGGAATTGATGCTGATTCTCTCAACAGCGGCTTTTGGATCATCTTCCCCTCCTATATGGTCATTACCTTTGGTACCGACATTATCCAAGCTCTCGACATTGCTGCCGATCCTTCGTCCAAGAAACGCCAGTAATTTACATCAGGATGGGAATTCACGCGATAATATACTCTTTATTAACAACACTACAAGTAATGGAGAAAACCTCAAAACTCTTGGAATTTCTTATTTGTCTCCTGGTGCTGACATGCGCGCCTCGTATCATGGACAAAAATGTTGTTGATTCCCCCCCAATAATGCCATGCAATCCTGCAGCCACCGGCAGAGCTGTAGGTATAATTTAGATCATTATTCATGCACCCAGGCTCAGCAGGCATCTCGCATTTTCCCCTGCTCAAAGATGCTGCTTCCACGTCCCCCCCCCCTTTTGTTTTGTCCCAGACCCGTTTCTCCAACAGCAACGGCGCAGCATCAGCCCAACCAATGTAATTATACAAGCCAAAGAGGGAGAGAGGGAGAGAGAGAGAGCCATTGTATACAGCTTTTTTTTTGCCTGAAAACAAGCTCATGCACGTTACAGATGCAGCCAAAGAAAGAAAGCCAGAAAAAAAAACTACAAATACAAATACAAATTACAAATACAAAAAAAAGGTCTTATTCTTATCTCTCGAGTGTGTGTGTTCCTGTTAACTGGAATCTAGAGACGGTTGTATACACGCATATACACAAATATATATATATACACATAGCATGTCTCATGTATTATCACAAAAAACGCCCAAGTCTCATCATACGTGGCAGTAGTTAGTAGTTAGTAGTACTTAGTCACTTGACCACGATATTCTCATCCCCGGCAGAAAATCTGTAATTTCATCTCGTATGGCATTTTCGTATATGCTGTCTCGTGATTATCTTTTTTTTTATTCTTGTATTTTGGCAATTCCTAGTAGGTCCTGCTGTATATATATATATATGTGTGTGTGTGTGTGTTGGGTGCTACATATCGCCGTAAAGTATACGAATGAGCAAAAAAAAGGAAAATAAAGCACACTTTCTCGCTTTTCTCTCTCCTCAGTTGCATGAATTCGCACATGTGCGGTTTCTCCTTCCAGCGAGAGTCTAGCTTGGGGACTAGTGTGATGGGTAATGGGGAGATGTAGTACAGTAGACTCTCAGACTCTCAGACTTTTCTCTTTGTCGAGGCCCAGCCTTGACGGATATCTCTGCTGCTGCTGTAATCACACAGACCCATCGTATTCTCTCCTCCTCCATCCTCCCCCCCCCCCAAAAAAAAGTGTGAGAGAGAAAGAAAGACACAACCTCAACTCTCACATAACACTACACCCCCTCACCCTCCTCAACCTCATCCTGACTCCAACCGCACAATTCCAAAACCTCTTCTTCTTCTTCCTCCGTCCATTGCCTCCGTCTTCCTCACCACCATCATGCAGCTCTTTATTCACGAACCCCACGCGCGACCCAATCCCGCGTCTCCTCTCCTCCAGGTCCGCCATGCTCGCCACGGTGCCAAACGGGCCGTCATCGGCCTCTACAAGCGCCTTTTTGCGCTCCAGCTCGTCGCGGCCGGGCGTGCTGAAGACGCTGCGGCGTGACACGCTGGTTCCGGCCGAGGCGCTGGAGATGCGGGAGCTGGAGGTGTGGCGGCCGAGGTCGTGGGGCGAGTAGGGTGAGGAGGGGGATGTGCGGTGGGTGGAATGTTCATGTTGATCAGGATGGGAATTTGGATTTGAAGTGGTATTCAGCGGCGCGAGGGAAGGCGCAAAAAGGCGCGCGTGGTGCAGTGAAGTGTAGTCGTGCATTTGGGCGTCGATGCTGCGACCCTGCGCAGTAGCAGCAGTAGCACCAGCGGAGGCGAATGCTGGATTTGGGGATGGGTGCGGGGAAGCCAGGTCCGCGGGAACATGGTGGGTGGTAGTGGTAATATTATAGCGCTGGCTGCGGTCTTGGTGCTGGTGCTGGTGGAGGGCTGGAAGCGCGGCGCGGTGCTGCTGCTGCGTTGTTTCATGTGTAGATTGCGTGTGCGTCTTGGCTGTGCATGTGGCCGTCTCGTGATGCTGTTTTGGACCTACCGCGGCGGCCGTGGCGGCGGCACTACCCTGGGGCGGCGGCCTGGGCGGCGCAAATTGCAAATCCAAACTGTGTGCTATATTGCAAGATGGATATTGCTCCGCCGTATGATCGACATTTGGTTTCTGGTTGCTGCTGTTGTGTGTGGGCGTCGGCGTATTACGACCATGATTATTATCCGCGGTTGTAGTAGTAGCGGTAGTAGGACGAGTAGGCGTAGACGCAGCGTCGGATCTAGTGCCGAGTAACCGCCTAGAATGGGAAAACGGGATCGGCGTGCCTAGTGGCAGATATGCGAATCTGCGCTGCGACTCGGTCATGGGTGTTGGTGTATCAGGACACTCGGCGGGCATATCACTGCTTTCATGGTGGCTGTCGGCTTCATCATCATCGTGGCTCATGGAGCCATCCTTGTCTGTTCGATCAGCACTCGACGTCACATGCCGTGGAGAAGTCGGCGTACTATGCAGTCTTGTCTTTCTGTAGTGGTGGCTTTTAGTCCAGAATCTCGGTCTGACTGGCGAGGGTTGTGGAAAGTTGTCTTTTGCATGGTTCACGCTGCTGTCTCGCTTTGATACGTCCACTTCTTCCTCGCTCTTAGACTGCGCATCCTGCTGCTCTATCGCTGCTTGCTGCTCATCCTCTGCCGTCTCTGAATGAGCACAGCTTCTGCCCACCCCGTCGCTCAAGCTCTGCGACGGAGACGGCGGAATGGCCCGAATTGTCTGGCGACTCGATCCAGGACGGACAGGACTCGGTGGCGCAGACGCTTGGTATGCTCTTGGCCGGAAATATGTCGACATGTCTTGTTACGTCGTTGCTGATGTGAGATTCTAGGGGAACCGGGCTTCGTAAACGTTGATTGTGTGCGCAAATGTGAAGACGTGTAAATGAGAGGATGTGTGCGAGATGAATTTTGTTGCAAAAAGAGTGCGTGTCACGGCCACGTGAATGGCGCGCGAGCAAACGGCGGGGCTGGGGACGGGGTGATGAGGTCAGTAGGGATGTTGCCTGTAGAGCTAGCCCTGTCTTTATCTCTCTTTCACTCCAAGTGGCTTTCTACAATGTCATTATCCACATGCTAGATTGTGTCTTTGACTATTCCGGATGACATTTTGTAGACTGCTGTCATTAATGATAGCAGTTTGGGCAGTGCGACAAATTCACCTGTAGTGGCCAGTAACACGATATCTCGAGAGCAGAGTTTTCTTCCGAATCAGTGCATCATTGTTACGCAAGGTACGTCATTGCGTGGCTTATTACAATACATGTGGGGGTGTGCAGTATTGAGACCATATTCTCAATACTGCTCCCTTATCAGTATACATGGAGAGCAAGGTTGGAAGTTTGTTTTTCATTGAAGAGGTTATTTGCACGTATAGCAAGCCAGAACTTCTACTATATGCTTCTGATAATATCCACAGGACGCCTTCTACCACAGTGTTTGCTCCAAGGCCTACATCCAAGACTTGACTCTATCGAATCCAAATATTCATCGAAACCCAACCTGCTTCGGGTCCAAGTCCGAGTCTACACCACACGTGACTCAAGAACCCATCAAAAACACATATATAATCCCCGGATATTGAAATCGAAAGTGTATCAAACCATCTTACCACACCATAGCCTTACATAACCAAACAGCAGCAAGCCCTTGTCCTCGCCCCTGTTTCGCCCCCTTTATCCCCGCTAAACGCCATGTCCGGATACACACTAAGTATCTGCTCCCGATACTCTTGCACTTCTCTCGACGGATCCGTATGCAAGCTGTGTGTAGATAGTGATTTTGGATAGAAAGGTGTCGTGGTGGTCATGGTATCCGCTGCAAATCTGTCCACGAGATGCTGTGCTCGCTCGCGGTATGCACTGCGCTCACGACGCTGCAGTGCGAGGGTATCGTAAGAACCCCATGGAGGGGGCCGAGGGCCGTTGTGTGTTTCAAGGTATGAATGGAATGAGGGTGCGGGATGTCGTAGTGGGAGTGTGGGGGAGTCAAAGGGAGTGATATGGGTGTCGTGATTGGAGGGAGACTGGAGACGGGAAATTCGAGACGGAAGCTGTTCGGGTTGGTATCTGAGGTCTTTATCCTTGGAATGGGCTCGCTGGGGCACGATTGGCGTGTCTGTGTCGGATGAGGGGTTGTGGAGCATATGCAGTTCCGTGGGCAAGGGAGGCTGGTCACATACCCTGGACTGAACAGCTGGCCTCGACTCACGTACGTGCGGACTACACAATGTCGACCCCAATATTGAAAATGGCTCTTTGAACACCAGCTCTGGTTCCACTGTAGCAGTTGTAGTGTGGTCGCACGGGTCCAGCAAGGGCTCATGTGAGTTGTTGTAAATGGGTTTAGAGTACTTCGAAGCCGCCTGACCGTCTTGGACCTCGAGCCTTTCGCCAGCCAATGTTGGTTTCTCGAGTTGAAACTCTAAGTTTTCATCTTCGTAAACTGGCTCATCACTGTTGAGATTCTCGAGCGCAACATCTTCGAATGGTACTGCGGGCAGTGGACGGTAGCTCGACCCCAGACTCCACCCGTTCCTCGGGACTGGTTTACGCGGAATTGAACGTTCTGGCGAGCAATCAATGTATTCTAATTGTTGCATCCGTGGGCGTGATGGTGCCTGGTGGTATACGGTCGCATTGTCTACCGCTAAGTGGCTGCCGCGTGGAGTGGGAGGTGGTGCAATGTGATCCGCAGTTGCCGATGCAGTACATTTCAGCAGCTCGTTTTGATTTGTCGGTTTTGTTTGTTTCTTTCTGTATTTTTCTGACGTGAATACTCTTGCAAAATTGAAATGCTTGTCAAGACTGAATGTTGCTGCGTGGACGAGGGAAGTGTTTTGTTCAGACGCGTCAGTGTCTGTGGCTTGCGTGTCGGTATCGGCTTGCTGTGAATGTACTTTTCTTATTCGTAGCGGACTTGGGACTAGGATGTCTGGACTGGGCGGACATGATGAGATTTCTGTGGCGCAATATGCCTGGTAGGGTCGTCGTTCGACGGTATCGCAAAGTAAAGGTGACGCTTCGCCGAGCGTGTCTGTTTTGAACTCGGACATGAGGGCTGCGAACCATGAAGTCAGGCCTCTAAATAGTACCGTGCAATAATGTAGTAGATATTCGCGTGGTGATGCTACGATACACCCGAAGGCTGGTAGGGTTGTTTGTCTCTATGCAGGCGTATGTTGCTATCACTGTTTCACCGACACTTGTATGTTGGCTGCCTGACGATTCATCGTAATATTGTTTGCTGCGTGATCTAATCTGGCTAGGTCAAGGCAATTGGTAGTGAATATAGATCATGCAGTGCGTGCGTGCACCGTGCCTCAGATGCGGAACACGGCGTAGCAGTCTTGCACACCTCTCCTTAGTCCCTGCTCAAAGAGCCAGGTAAAGCCACCCCTATATCCGCTCTCTCGAATACGCTTCAGAAACCACAATTCGAGCATGCCAATCCTGTCCCCGCGCTTGAAAAACTCAAGCGCATCTTGATACCCGAGCTGCCAACCATACCAGAATTTTACGTACTCGTAGCGGCCGTCCGGGTCTAGCCCGCTACAATAGAGTACATGCTGATGGAAGGCTAAACCCCAGCGATCTTCCTTTACGCTTAGAGCATGTTCAATCATGGCACGCTTATCATTAGCAGATATGGTCCTGTAGTCTGGCGGCACGACGCTCCCATATTCTGTCATGGCCTGGAATCCCCATTCACCGCCCGGCATCCAGTCCATTTTCAAGGTCCAAAAGAAGCTACCGCCAGCTCGCTCCTGGTACCTTTTGCTTTGCACTTGGCCAAAATGTTTCACCAGCTCTTCTCTTGGCATGTCACCCCTCTTGGCCCACGAGTCCTCGGTCATGACGCACGAGTACTCGCCAACAATGACCTGGACAGCGCCGCGCTCATGGATGGGTCCTTCTTTGCTGTTTAGTTCTCTCAACTTGGTGCCAGCTTCCGTAATGATTTGCTGTGGTGACTTGGCTTTGTCCTCGTCTGAAAAGGCCCAATAGGAGTGCGTATCGACTACCACTGGACATAGCGGGTGAGCATACACGCTGTTCTTCTGGAGAGCCCATTCGGTGGCTCTTCCAAGGTCCCAGCCATCAGAGACGACAATAGGCATCTCGGGATTAATAGCGGAGATGGCAGCTATGCACTCGTCGTACCACTCGTACATGCCCTCCGACCCCCATTCGGCCTCGTTGACGATTTGTAGGCCAGCAAGCTCAGCGACGAACTTTGTATCCTCGGCAATGAACTGGCAGCAGCGGAGTCCCAGAGCACGGTTGGCAGGACTGGGCCAGAGTTCGGCACGTCCGCTGTTTGTGCCAGAGTGCTCTTGCGCATTTGCACCTCCTGGAAGAGCATGTAGATCGAGCAAGACCCCAATCGAACGCGTTCTAAGCCGTAGAATCAGGGTCAGAATGCTGTTCCATGCCTCAGCATAGACTTCAGCATAGGGCTCAAAGGGCGTGCCCTGTGTAAAGACTGGGCCGGGCAGATCGTAGTAGCCAATGGGCAGGCGAACGGTTGTACATTTCGCTACGTCGGCAAGCCATGCAATGTCATCTTCGGAGACAATGTTGGCCCAATGCTCCTCAAACTTTTGCTTCGTCCCAGCGATACCGATTCTGTCTACCCATGCCTTGACTGCCGAGAGTTCACTGGAGCCTTCTGCGCCTTCTGGGAATCGAGAGTTTTGAAGCCAGCGCTCAATTACGTAGACGGATCCGAGATTTGTGCCATGGTGGTAGCGATAACGCATGATCTCTATGGATGTGGGGCAGGCAATGCTATGACTGTATGGATAACATTGCCCGACATTCTGTTGGGTAAAGTTGTTGACCTGGGCCTTGAACCTGGTCAAGAAGTCCTCCACCATGCTGGTCATTTGCACGATTGCAGCAGGGCGGCCAGAAGACAATGGTGGTGGGTATTGATTTTCGATGCTGGATACGTCGTGGGAGAATAGGTGACTCGGCGTCAATTGCAGAGGATGAGGTTAATGTAGTAGGAGAATATTACAGGCCAAGAGGCGGTGGAGCCGTGTGGCCGTGCCTGTGTTTTTAGTAATGACGTAAGTAAGGCAAGTGTAGGGCTGGAGACTGTACATCCAGGTAGGCGCATCTGACAGGATGCAACTGCATCAGGAGCTTCGTCTTACCACAAGCCCATTCTAGGAAATGCCCTCGTCGTGTAGATGCGGCATGCTCGACCGGCTTCGTGTGTGAAACAGCAGCCTACGGCTCGCTGGTGATGGGATATGATATTGACAAGGTCTGGGGTGCATGTCTGCGGGTTGCATTAGCGGATACCTGGTAGTCATAGCCATTCAATGAGCACGTAGCCATTGTGGCCCAACGGCGGGCCATGGTGCCATGGCGAAGAGGATGCCGGTGTGTGTCTGTGCCTGGCGTCTGCATGTGCTGGCTATGGACAGCCATGTCATGTTGGAGAAGCGTGGAGAAGAAAAGGCATCCTGAGCATTACAGTACCGAGTGACTGAGAAAGCCGCCAAGCTGGACCCTGACTGCCCCCCATTCGCGTCGCCCGACGGCCCGCCATGGCTTTCCCCAACCACGACGCGACTACTCCCGCACCACCCCCCAGACGCGCATTTCGGTTTCAATTTGGTTTTGCCTGTGGCTAGGAGGCCGTACAAGTAGTCGGTGTGTACAGCCATTGTTTCTTCTGCAACCATCGCTGCGCACCCACGCGTCGCCCAGCCCGTCTCCACGCGTCTCCAGACAATACATACAGTGGATGGACAGCATGAGCGCCACGACGCCACACAGACCGAACATGGCCTCTTACCAGACGCCCTCGCAGACACCGGCTCGACGCGTGCTGGGCAGTCTCACTCCAAAGGCTCTAAATACGCCCCAGACTCAGACAAAGCCCTATGAACTAGCCCACGTCGCGCGGCCGGACAGCCCGCTAAAGCACGTTGCCCCAAGGACCCCAGCAGCCTTTGCCGATAAAGAGAACCTGGCCACGCCCAATGCCACGGTCAAGAGCAAGAAGCGCGGCATCCAGGAAGTCGACGACGCCGAGACGATTGCACATGCAAAGATGCTTGCCCACGCACGCGGCCACAGTCCTTCGACGACCGCCATGCGCCTGACCGCCGACGCGATTCAGAAGCACACGGTTAGCCTGCTCACCACCGCCGACGCGTCTACACTGGCTAACCATTTCCAAGGAAAACAACCCCATCGGCCTCGCAGACCCCGGATCGCCCACGGAACGCGCCACGCCGTCGCCGTCGCCCGAGCCGGAAGCCATGCACGCATCTCAGAAGAGCAACCAGTCCTTTTCCGACTTTCTCAACTATGAAATGTGCGCGAGTCAGAAGAGCGACCACGCCAAACTCGCGCCCCTCGTTGCAGAGGAAAAGAAGAGGTCACGCGCAGAACAGTTGCGCACGCGCCTCAAGTTTGGCCTGTACAAGGTCAAGACAAATCAGGTTAGCAAGCGTGACGTGGATATTATTGCCCCATTCGAGGCCAGTTCCATGTACTCGTCCAACCCTCTTGCATCCACAACCATGACATCCTCTGGCGACTCCCGCGTTCCCAACATCACCGTGTCCTCGCCGCGACGCGAACAAGGGCCTGTTTTTGTCCAAGCAAATCTCGATCCCTTTCGCCCAATAAGTAAACTCGGGCCCGCACCAGTCCAGTTTGCCCCGCCCCAAGGCGGCATGGTCTCGTCGCGAACAATTGAATACGAAATCACCTCGTCGCCTCCTGGGACCGACCTCCCCAAATCAGTCACCCCGGAAGAGCTCACGTCGCCCATGCAGCAGCGAAATCACTACCAGATGGCTTCGGAGCCAAGGAGGCGAGGCGGTGAGCACGGGGCAGATTCCAACGTCAGAGAAGAATCTGCGCGAGAAAGGCTGCAACGTCTAAGACAACAACAATATCTGGAAGAGACGCCAAGTAGCATCCGTGTACAGGGCGATGCTGCGGAAGGATTATTACAACTGATGCAAAACTCGCGCTAGTAGCCGACGTACAAATTATCATTCCACGGCCTTTGCCTAATCCTGTGATATTTCCTCCTTTACGAATGACGACATAGTAATACATTGTTCAGCAACATGTGCTGCAATCTTCTCTTCATGAGCCAGATTATCAACATGCATCGATTGGTTCTGATCATCATGCCGCAGAATTCTACCAAAAAAAACAAAAACACACAGATACCTTGGTTCCAGCCCCATCCCTGGTTAACGCCCGTCACAAACACATGCGTCTTGACGTCACGCATCGCAATTCCAAAATCACACCATGGTCTTTGTCATGTTTTCCCATTTTCCCATGTCCTTACAGTAGTGGTGGTGGTAGTGTTAGCTCGGCACGCTGATCAAACGTTGGATCCGTTGTGTTGGATGTGATTGTTCTTTTTGTGGGGTGATTTACGAACAGATAAACGGGTAGTGGTATGCAGACTACGGGACTAGCGCATGCGGCCAAGAAAGCACCCAACCACAACTCAAATCAATAAGACGTTGCTGGTTAACCCCGTCATGCGTACCTGTCGTGCGCAGGTGTACTTGTTTTGTTCTGGAAGGGTGATGGCATGTTTGGATCTACGCGTCATGTCCGTGTGGATGCTGCTGGGGATTGGAGTCGTAGGATGAGACGAGGTGAGGTGTTGGAGGTGGTGGCACGTGATTAGGGATTGACTGAATAGGCAAATGGATAGTAATAACATAGACGACGAATGAACAACACGCGTGTCAAGGAACTAGATGATATCGCTAGCGCTATGCATGATTAAAACGTGGAGTTATGGAAGAAGCTGCAGTTTAACTGTACCAGTGTGCATCACTACATACAACTACAAGGCTTATCCTACAAGCCCTATCCATGTACTCTCTGCGTATGTAGTCAGTGTTTGTTAAGTTGAGTATGGAATTGAACTAAGGACTAGACGGAACGCGATATCGTGTCTATCTTGCCAAGATTGCGATAATATGCCTACTGCATACTTTGGTATGGCATAGCATAGCATAGCACAGCATAGCACAGTGAAGCATCGCGTGGCATAGTGCAGTATCGTCTAATAAGAATGAGTAAGCTATAGTAAAATGCATCAAGGACGAAAGGGAGGGTGTATTGTTGGAAATTCGACTGGTTACTGACTGGTACATAGGAAGGAGAGTAGTTCCACACACTAGTTGTAGCGTGTAAGGCAATTCTTACGATTATATCGCGATGCCGTATTCTATATCTTGTTTAGTATAGTCCTCTTGATGTAATTATACATGTACAAAGAGATGGAATTGCCGTGTTCGTTAGCCAACTAGACTATTTTCCCTAAACACCACTTGTACTTACATCTACTTCCCCTGTATCCCCCATCCCCCATCCCCTTCTCCTTGTTCTCCCCCTTTCTTTTCCCCTTCCCCTTCCCCTTCCCTCCGCTCTCATCCATCCTACCCCATCCCGCTCCCAACACCTCCTCCCCCCGCATCCCACAAACATCCCAGCCACCCGCCAAGTACCTGCCGCACATCCGCCGATCCTCATCTCCCCGATTCCCGCGAGTCATACTCATACCTTTCCCACACACACACAGATCCCTGTACCCTGCACGCCCATCACACGCATACATACAGTTCGTACGTAATCCGCCGTCCCGAAAGTCCGACATCAGACATGCATGATGGACGCTTACTTGTGTATTTGTATTGGTGTTGCTATCTCCTACTCTCTCTCTCCAACCCCCCTCTTGTGTCTGGAAACGGCACATCGGAACGTATCAAGTACTGGTGGTCATCTTGTACATGATCACACAAGACATATGCACATATCTACATTGGTAACATACTTACTACTTAGGCACCTAACCATAACCAATAACCATAACCAATAACCATAACCAATAACCATAACCAATAACCATAACCAATAACCATAACCAATAACCATAACCCCCCAAACCCCAAAACTTAAAACGCTAAACTTAAACGCCAAACGCATAACCAAGTACGTAACCACATGCCCCACAAAACGGATATAAGCCAAGCCCCAGCCCAAGCCTGAGCCCAAGCCTGAGACCAAGCCCAAGCCGAAGCCAAAACTGCTGAGGGCTTGGATTAAGTTACTATAGTAAACTAAACTCAACTGAACTGAAGTCAACTGAACTGGACTGACTAGCCAGTTAGGTAGTTAGATAGTTAGGTAGTTAAGTATTCAAGACCAGGACTACAACAAGTGTGAAAAAATGCAGAGTCAACGAGACAAGCACAGGGGTTTTTTTCTAGGAGGGTTGGGAAAGGGATTCTCCACATTTTTTTCTTACTTACTTACTTAACTGCCCCTCTCCCCTCTCCCCTTGTTTGTCATTTTCTGCGTTTTGTGTGTGTGTGTGTGTGCGCGTGTGTGTGTGCATGTGTTGCATGTATAATATGAGTCTTTGCGAAGCAATATATATAATCATGATTTTAGTATAATTTATGATTACAATTATGATTTGCGATAAGTACTTATTGCATTCTACTCTATTCCATTCCATTCCATTCACATCACATCACAACAGTAACTCCTCCTCCTCCTCCTCCTCCTCGTATGCGTCAAGATAGTAGAGAACCTAGACCTAGATCTGGACCTGGACCTAGATGTATGTATGTATATATGTACATGGCAAGTTTGCGGTTCATAGAATACTACTCGTCCCGTCATGCCGTCTTTGCCTGCCCCCCTGTTTCTATCTATCTTGTCTTATGCTAGTTATGTTATGTTATGTTATGTTGTGTTATGTTATGTCATCTTATGTCATGTTATCTTATGTTATTCGAAATCCTACACCATATGGCATGATATGATATAATAATAATATACAGTTTCTTATGACTGCATATACTACATGTACATATACATTCACATACATATACACACTAGCCCTAAAAAAATAGCAGTATACTAATCCAAGCCAATCCAATCCAATCCAAAGCACACAGAGCGATATACAAATAATACGCGTGAATATCGCGATTACGCACTCTACTTGGACGACAAAGACAACTGTAACAACGATAACAACGAGGCAGTCATTTTTTTTCTTTTACTTAACTTGACTTGACTTACTTAGCTGCAGAATATATAATAAAGAGAATAAGAAGAAGAAGAAGAAAAAAGCAAATACCCCTGAATATCACCAGCACCAGCACTAGCATGTCCATAGTGCAGCCATCACCGTCATGACGATAATGACGATCGATGCAAAAAGATGACTACTTACGTAGAGAGATCATCGCGAGCGGGAAAAGAAAGAAAGAAAGAAAAAAAAAGGAACATGATTTTTCACAACGGGGCAACACAGATACTTTACCCCGTTTTATTATCGCGTCATGACGATGCATCACGGTCTTGCGCAAGTAGAAACCCACAATGAAAGAGGTCGTGACTTTCCTTTGATGCCATTTTTTTTTCTCTCTCTCCAAATATAGTAAACTACATGTATGATGATGATGATGATGATTGGATGCTCAGCTCCCCCACACGCCCGCGCCCACGCTGTTCCTCCCCTCCCAAAATTGCCTTCATCGGCCCCAAACAAAACAAAACAAAACAAAAAAGAGGCTTTAACTTGTCCCCACTGTCACGTGTAGTCCTGAAATGCTACTTTACTTCAGATCGCCCAGACCCGCCGTCGTATTAGGAAGGTGTGTGTATGTGTGTGTGTGTGTGTGTGTGCTCAGCATGTTTAAAAAAAAAGGTCAAGAAAGAGGAAGAAGAGAAGAAAAAAAGAGGCGGGATAGCTGTTACGTTGAAATGTCCTCACCCTCCCACAGTGCTCTTAAGTCTGCTACACATGAGTGGTATCCAGAGCTCATGCTTTCTAAAGATCCAAAAGTACGCCAATGCCCATAAGAAAAGAAAAAAGCCACTATCCCCCAGGAAGGGGGATATGGATGTGTTTGTGACGATAGAAGAATAGGCGCTGGCTAGGGCCGGACCAGGGGCTGTGGCGCTGTGGCTATCGTTTTTGTTTATGGGGGTTTCGAAGTGACATGGGCACATCGAGGATGGTGGAAAGATGTGTCAACCGTAGCTGCTCGTCACTCAGGCAGGACGGCGACGACCGCCCTTGAGAGACTTGACGCGGTTGAGGAAACCACCGCTCGGTGCCTTTGCATCGGGAGATGACATATTGTCCGTAGTGATGGATCGTTGCAAGTTGTTGCCACGGGGTGGCGAACCCATGTTTCCATCAAAATCGTTCGTCTTAATAGCGGCGCCCTTGGCGTCGTATGCCTTGTCATAATCGTCGCTGAAGAATGGATTCTTCTCGTTGGCCTTGGTCTGTGCAATAGCTCCAGCACTGTGGGGGCCGCTGAGACTGGGCGAGTGTCCGTAACGCGCCTCTGGCGAGTTCATGCGAGGACCGTCATAACGGCGAGGCTGCGAGATGCCGCGGAAACGCTGAGCAATCGACTTCTTGCGGCCCAGACCATTTTCAGCCAGCTGCTTCTGCCTCTGGGCATCGCTGTCCTCCTGAATGGCCTTGCGGGAGGCTGGGGCGCCTTCGAGGAACGTCGACGTTCCCAGACCGTTGCTCTGCTCGCCGTGTACAATGTGCTCTGGAGCCTTTGCACTGTACTCGGTAGCCTGTGTCCTCTTCTTCCAGTCAATGTCGGTGTTGCCAAAGTCGGTGAAGCCCTCGGCGCCTCGGCCGTGGATGCGGTCCAAGTCAATCTTGGTGTTGAGCGGTCCAGCGCCGCCGAGCGAGTTGTTGGCGGACCCGGCAGGGAAAGCTTCCATGGGTGCGCGCTGATCCTTTTTGCGGTTGCGGTGCGGCTGCACCGCGTCATACGGACCATCGTGGTGAATCATGCTGGGTCCGTAGATTCCCGTGACGTCGAGCTTGTCAATCAGATCGAGACCCTGGGGCTTGCGGATACGCTTGCCCGTCTTGGGGTCCTTGCCATCCTTGGAGCGCTCCTCACGCTCGCGGCGACGCTCCCTGCGCCTGCGCTCCTCGCGTGGGTCCAGAGAGCGGTCGACAATCGACGAGTCCGAGTTGCGGCGTGGGCGGCGTGTCTCGCGGCGTTCTGGGCTGTCGGGGTGCGGAGGGCGCGAACCTGGGGGGCCGCGAGGACGAGGAGGGCCTCGCGAGGCGTCACGCACGCGCTGCCTCTCCTCGTCGGAGCGTGACGGGCGGTGAGTTGCACGGGGGTCGGTGCCGCTTCGGCCGGGTGCTGGGCGCGAGGGGGGCGGCGGCTTCTTCTTCTCGCCATCATCAATGGAGAGGCTTTTCTGCGCGAGGGCGGGATAGTCAGCAAAGTGGGTTACGAAGCGCTTGAAGCGGTCCATGGCGGCACTCGAGCAAAGGAGAGCGAGAGCGAGAGCGCGAGCAGGAGCAGGAGTGAGGGTGAGAGAGCAAGAGCGCGAGCGCGAGCGTACACAAGGTGCCACTCGAGATGCAGGCGGGCGTGTCACCGTCACGGACAATTGGATTGGAGCGGAGAGAGGCACGTACAAGGAGATCGTCGGCAAAGGTCGACTTCTTGGGCGAGTCCTTCATGGTGGCCGACATGTCAACGAGGTCGCGCGATGCCTCCTTGTTGAACTCGGCCTCGAACGTGGTGATGAAGGGATTGCGCGACATTGGTCTGCTGCCAGAGCTGGAGCGGTTGGTGGCACTTGCGGGAGAAGGAAAGGCGGGAGAAGGGAAGCCAGGCGAGGCGGCTCTGCGGAAGGGGTTGTTGGAGGAGAGGTTGAGCTGCAGGCCTGGCGAAGGCCGGCGTTCTGAAGATAAGACGGGGCGATCAGCAACGCGTCCAAATTGGCCAGCGCCCAAGGGCAGGGTGAAACAAGCGATCGAAGGGGGGGGGGGATTACCTGGCATTGACGGCTCTGCAAACATAATGCCGTGCACTCTCTGACAACCCTGCTGGTCAGCCCAATCAAAGCGTGGCGATGCGGGCAGCGACAGGCGTGCGCTGAGCAACAGTTGGCTGGTGACGGGCACTTGGCAGCCGACGCGGAGCTGCACAGTGACTAGGCGGCGCGCGCGTAGGGCAGCAGAAGCAAATAGGGGGGGGGGCGGCAATTTCAGGGCGATAGCGATGCGGTGCGTGGAGCAGAGTGTTTTGGGGCTGCTGAGGATAAGACGGGGGCTGTTGACTGGCGAGGGGGGTGGGCGGGTGCAGGCGAGCGGGGCGAGCGGTGGTCGGCTTGTGTTTGAGGGCCCGGTGTTAGTCTATGCAACGTCTAGCGATTCAATGTATGGATGCGTCGATGGGCGTGCGTGCGTGCGTGCGTGCGAGTGCGAGTGCGTGCGAGGCCTGGGATGCAGCGCGTGGATGGGCGGGTGTGAGTGCGAGGGGGAGAGTGTGTGAGTGTGTGAGTGTGCGTGAGTGTGTGAGAGTGAGAGTGGAGAGAGTGAGAGAGCGAGAGCGGGCGCAAAGGGGCAAGAGGGGGGGGGTGGAGTGAGTCCGGGCAGACGAGGCAGCACCTAGGTTTAAAAGCAATGGCGGCCGAGAGGGAGGGACAGCGCGAGAGAGAGAGAGAGAGAGAGAGAGAGAGAGAGAGAGAGAGAGAAGGGCCTCGCCGGACGGAGCAATGGGCGGCGGACGGAGAGGAAGGGGATGTCAGTCGCTAAGTAGTGCCTTTGGCCTGCCCTGGCCTGCCCTTCCGCCCATGCCATGCCATGCCATGCCATGCTGCCCTGCCCATCCCATCCTGTCCTGTCCTGTCCTGTCGCGCGGATAGTCGGTTGGCGCAGGAGCGGCCTAGGTCCTCGCATGCTGGGTCTTGGGCCACCACCACTACACTCCCACTCCCACCACCACGTCCTCCACCACCTCCATAGCAACCACCAGCACCAATCCTGCTGCTATTACGGCTGCGGCTGCTGGTGCCAGCACCACTACGCCACCACGCGGGCTGGGTTCCTGGGCAACGCCCGCCGTGGCAGGCCTGTCCCCGTATGTGCCCTCTACTAGCACCCCGACTATTACTGCTACCAGCACTCACTAGCACTAGCACACATGGCTACGGCCTGCCTACACGCTGTCTGTTCGGTGGCTCCGCCCCGTCATCGGGCGCCTCGACACACACCATTGCTATAGTACACCCCCTCCCGAAAAAATCAAAGAACAAGCCCCCTAAACTCGCCCGCCGTCGCGTCGGGTGCTGCTGGGCGGAGCTTGGGCGGAGCCAGTGCTACTTAGTGCTGTGCACACGGTGTGGGGTTTGGATGGATACGGTACCAGCATCGTGGCGAGGCCTGGGCTGGGCTGCATCTAGGACGTGTAGGTATAGCGAGGGCGACTCCTGTAGGCAGGCAGGCACGATGTCGGCTTCTACTCGCCCTCGCCCCCCCCATTCCCCTGTCGCAGCAGTGTGAGGAGAGGGTGTTTTTCTGCCTCTTCTGTTTTGAATCGCCCATGCGGCCCGCCCAGGCTGCCGTCGTCGACGCGCGCAGTGTCAGTCGGGCATGGCTTTGCTCGTCGTCTGCCCCCCCTGGCGTCGTTGCACCCGTTTGTGCAAGTGCACGATCCTCTGCCCGCGTCAAAAGCCCCAAGCGGATTAGCTGCCGACTGTGGTTGCGGGGGAAAAAAATAAAAGACCCTGAAATCCACCCTTCCTGCTTCTTCCAGCCTCGGCCTGCCCAAGCCGGCCTGGCCTGACCTCGACTGCACGCCCACATACTGCCACTATACTATACACACCCACACCCACACCCACTACCACAACCACCACACATCCACCCACACATCCACCCACGCGTCAGCCGACCAGCATGGCCCAGCCGGGTATCCACGACGTGCCTGGCCTGGGAGGCTACTCGCGCTTTGAGCTCGAACTCGAGGTCCGCAATTCCCGTGCAGCGGCAACGTCATTAGCCCCTGTTTGACCTTCATTAACACGCTCCTAGTTTGTGCAGTGCCTTGCCAATCCCGTCTACCTCAACTTTCTCGCCCAGCAAAAGACGCTCGACAGGCCCGACTTTGTCGCCTACCTGGCCTACCTGCAGTACTTCCAGCAGCCCCAGTATGCCAGATTCCTCCAGTACGTGATGCTCTTGCTCTGCTCCGCCCGCCCGCCCGCCTGTCCATCCATGCACGCTGACTGCTGACGCTGCTGCAGCCACCCTGGCCCGACGCTCCGTGCACTGCAACTGCTGCAGCAGGAGCGTTTTCGCCAGGACATTCTGGCGCCGGGCCTGGTGGACCGCCTGGTCATCCAAGGTCAGCGCAATGCCGTGCCCGCTAACAAGGACTGAGCTGGGCTGGCGTGCGAGCGCGTGAGCGAGTGCGCGAGTGCGCGAGTGCCAGTGTGAGCCCACGTGGGCAGGGGGCGACGACGACGACGACGACGACGAGGGCAAGGCCGAGAGCGAGAGCGAGCCAGCGCCAAGCCGTCGTCGATGATCACGAGACCACGCCGCCACCGCCGCCTGTGGCTTAGTCACGGCCAAGTGCCCCCGGCGCCAGCCTGCACTCGACTAGCCACCATGACCAGGCATATTGGCAGAGCTGAAAATAGTAAATAGAGCCAGCCATGCCCACAACCAGGTACCCTACTGCTACTGCTACTGCTACTGCTACTGCTACTGCTACTGCTACTGCTACTGCTACTGCTACTGCTACTACCACTACCGCTACTACCACTACTACTACTACGTACATGCATGCATCCTGTCCCATCCTGTCCATGTCAATATGCCCACCCCGTGACGTCGCCATGCACCGCCCAGCCACAACCACAACCACAACCACAACACAACCACAACACGCCCGCCACGCGCACGTGACGCTTGCATCGGCCAAGCCTGCCCCGCGTCGCGCTATCGCCTCGACCCGCGCAGTCTCGTGAGCTGCCACCAGGGTGCTTGGGCTGCCCGTCACAGTACTCACGCCCGCCCCCTCCGCTGTAAAAACTTTGGCACCATGCGCTCCGTATCCGAAGCCGAGTAGGCCACGCCCTCCCGCTCTGGCCCTCTGACCCTCTGACCCTCTGCCCACAGGAAGCACTGGCGCCTGCTCGACGACTTCCACTCTCTGACCGATCTCAAGATCCATGTCTCCGCCCACAAGGAGCCCCAAATCACCGCCGGACTCCGGTCAGTCTGCTGGAAAGTGCGATGCGCCAAAATCTTACTCCCCCAAACGCTCAATTGCTCATCCCCAGCCTAGATCTTTCTGGTCTTCAAGACGCTCGATCGCTCCTCATGGCCCGCCCACTTGACCCAAGCGCGCAAGACGTACGAGTCGCTGCGCTCGCATTACCTCCGCCCCATCCAGAACCCAAACGAGTTCGAGTCTACCGTCGATCCACTGAGCGAGCTGTCAGAAGTGCGTGTGCCCCCTTCCACCACCACCACTACCACCACCACCCCCCGGGACCACTGCACCCTAAACATGCCCACTTATTGACAAGTGCTAAGCCTTGAAAAGTCCCCATGGGTAGCGCTGCGAGCCGACGAAGAACTGCGCGCCGAAATCTTCCAAGACATTGAGCGATGCATGCCCGACAATGTCTACTTTCGCCAGCCCGCCACCCAGAACATGATGCTGGACATTTTGTTTGTCTGGTGCAAGATGCATCCCAACATTGGCTATCGTCAAGGCATGCACGAGATACTCGCCCCCGTGCTGTGGGTTGTCGAAAGAGACGCCGTCGACGTGGCTGGCCACAAGATGGGCGCAAAGGACCATACGCTTGTAGACATGCTGCACTCTGCCTACATTGAGCATGACACGCACATGCTCTTCTCCGTCATCATGCACACTGCAAAGCTCTTCTATGCGCCCGCCGATGCTGCTTCCACATCCAAAGACTCGCCCATGCTTGCTCGCAGCGCCAGAATCTTCGAAGACTACCTGCCCAGGGTTGATCCCGGCCTGCACAGCCATCTTGTGAAGCTCGATATCGTCCCCCAGATATTCCTGCTGTAAGCCAACCCACGCACTGGCAATTTTCCTCGCTAACCCACACAGACGCTGGATACGCCTTTTGTTTGGCAGAGAATTTCCCCTCGACGCCGTTTTTGACATGTGGGATGCCTTGTTTGCAATCGACTCGACCCTGGAACTCGTCGACATGATTTCCGTGGCCATGCTCCTGCGCATCCGGTGGGAGCTGGCCGCCGCCGACACCAATGAGGCCTTTGCTTTTCTGCTCAGATATCCGGACCCAGCCACCCCTCCCTACACCTTTATCAAAGACGCCCTGTATCTCCGCGATCACCTGACCCAGCAAGGTGGCGCCGACATTGTTACACGATATGGAAAAAAGGCACCCCCGATCGAGGCTGAAACAAACTCGACTGCTCGCGCCTCTTCCCCAGCGCCCTCATTCGTTTCAAGTCGAACGCGCAATAGCCTGGGGTCACCCAGGAGCTTCGTCAGCCAGCAGGGTACTGGTCTCGAGGCCCTGATACAGGGCGCTGCGAAGAATGTACTGGACCGCGGCTCGCAATGGAATGTGGGCAAAGCCCTGCGTGACGCTGTGGGAGAGGTCAAGAAGAACGTCGAAGCCTACCAGTCAGGGGTCACTTCAGGGCAGGCGACTCCACGCTCTGGTGGGAGAGAGTTCCGGAAGCCCGCCCAGCCAGGTACCAATGGGCGGTCGAGTTTTGACCAGGCGCATTCAGTCAAGGTCATGAAGAAAATGGAAGAACTCGACCGAAGAAATAAGAGCCTGGCCAAGATGCTGGAAGCAGCAGTAGGCGATTTGTGGGAGTATCACCGGGAACGTGATGAGGCGCAAAGAGGCAAAGACGACGACAAGGCCAAGGACGGCATTGAAGCACTCAGCCTTGCCATTGCAAAGGTGCAGTTTGTGCAGGTATACCTAGAAGACTCGTCGATACCACTCCCCGTCGATGACGCAACAGAGCAGGCGTCGACGGCCCAGGCCACAGCCACCCTGGCGTCTCCAGTCGCTCAGCCTGTAGCGCAGCCGGAGCAGCCTTCTAGCGCCGGGCCCGCCTCAGCGACGACAACCCCTCAGCCCGCCACGCCCTTGACAGCAACGTCACACAACCCTTCACCCCTCGCCTCCCGCCCGGCATCGCCCCCAGCCCGCGCATTGCCACCCCCATCCAAGCTCGGGTCCACTCTCTCTCCAAAGTCACGGCCGCAGCTCACCTCTTCCAACTTTTCTTGGATGCTAGGCGAGGACTCGGCATCCTCCAACTTTGCCTCGAGCGCAGCACACTCTACCTTTTCCTCTGACGAGAAGAGACGGATGAAGGGCAAAGGCTTCTTGTTTGGCGATGACGACGACGACGAGATTAGTACCAAGGATATCAAGAGAGGGAGCGGCAGTGGCAAGAACGCAAAGGGCAAACACGTGCCAGAGGCGGAGGTGGAAGAGGAGGTGATTGATCTCGCCAACATGGGCAAAAGAGGTGTAATCTGAGTCACCGGCAAGCATACGATACTCGGCTAGGGTGAAGGTCGCGACTAGGGACCCTGCGTGGGTTACACGCATGGCTGGCACGGCATAGCGCACCGAGTGCGTGGGCGGTTGCGTCCAACCGGAGAGGCGATGACGCTGCCCGCGTGTAACACCGAGGCCGGATCAAATACAATCCTTCACTCTCCATGGCCCTTGCATTCTTACCGCGTTACAACAGCTTGGCAAACCAGTCTCGTGGTTCCTTTGGCAGCATGCACATGTTGCTTCGAGCACCCAATGCCACATGCCCACGGCCTCTACACGCACACCAGCCATGGTGCGGGCCATCACCCCACAGGCGTTCCCACGTAACTTGCTCAAACCAGGCTTGGTGCAGCCGCCAGTGCCTCACCAAGCCTCTGGATTCGCCACGACCAGCATTTGATACACTATGTGCCCGCCCATGATTAGCTGACCACGAGGCCTGACCCGCCTAATCAACCACCTTGGGCAACCGCCCGAGTGATAGCGCGGGAAGACATACTGGCAAATGCGGCTATTGGCGTCACAGCGCCGACTGCCGAAACCAGTTGGTCACCGGTCGCATCGGTCTCCTCTAGGAGATAAAAGGCCTGCCCCGCTTCTACCCCTCCAACTGCCTTCTCCTTACCTCGAGCAAACGACCAATTCACCGCTCTTTCCCACTTGACCGACTACCACACTTGTACCACCTCAACCACCTCAAACACATCAAAATGAAGGGAGGCTGCGGAAACGCTGGATGCACTTGCGCCGACTGCGGCTGCGCTCAGGGTGCTTGCACTTGCGGCAAATGTACGTCTAGCCGAGTCGGATCAGGCTGATTGACTTGATCGTGCCATGTACTGACCATGGGTAGAAACTCGTACCGACAAGCACTACCATGCGACAAGACATTCCCATTCATGATGGATCCTTGCATATACGTACGCAACGCTGAACCGTTGATATACGAGCCGAGCAGTCGATGGTAACACAGGGCGAATGATTCTGGGCACAAGCGTGGGATACGAGCGTACATAATAAAGATGAATGACATAACGTTATGACTTGAAGACTTGTCTGAGTTTGTTCCCAGGCGACCTACCACGCATGTGAATGTAACTGACAGTCATGCCGCCACTTGTCCAAGCCGTCTTTAAGAAACGCCTAAAGGGATGTGTATGTTAAGCATAAAAAAAATTCTGACGTGAGTCCGCCAACACCAAAAAAAGACATGAGCTTGATTTTGTTTTTTGGTATTTTATTGTTTTGGGGGCTGCAGCCACATAGCCTCTTTGCACAAGCCCGCGTGCCCTTATCCTATCCTACCCCCCACTAGCGGCATGCATGTCGGAAACCTTCCGAACGCCATTCCCCGACCGACTGACTACCACCATGACCACGCTTGAATTCTAGATTCAACTCTGGGGCTCTCTCGCTAATTCATACGCATACACACACACACACATATATATATATATATATACGCCTAAGCAATGAATACTACTACTAGTACTAGCAGTGGTAGTAGTAGTGATGGTACCGCACCGACTAACGCATCACACGCAAAACTCGCATCTGCGCTGCTTGACGACACGGAGCTGGACGCCGTACTGGAACGCGTGTGTAGCTTCTTCGACTCTAGCTCCAACCCGGATTCCGGCACCACCTCTAAATCCAATCATGATGCGTTCAGAACACAGCCCCAGACTCAGATTCAGATTCAGACTCGGACTCGACAGCGACGACAGCAGCAAAAGCAGCGGCAACAACAACAACAACGATTACCCACACGCCTACCCCATCTCGACGCCGCGCTAACCGGCGGCTTGCAACAAGGCCTTGTGGTCGAACTCAGCGGCGAACCCAATTCCAGTATCAGCACTAGCCATTTCTGTATCTCGCTCCTCGTCACCTCCTTGCTGCTGTATCCGTGTTCGAGTGCCGCGGTGATAGATAGCACGGGCCATTTCAATGTCGTAAGGTTGCTGGAGATGGCGCGGGAGCAGTTGGTGTTGGGTTGTGGTGGTGGTGGTGGTGGTGGGATTGGAGGAGCGGTTGATGAAGGGGAGGTGCAGAGATTGCTGGAGCGTGTCAAGATTATGCGTGTTTTTGATTTCGAGGGCGTGAGGGAGGCGCTGGGGGAGATTGAGCGGGGGTTGGGTGCGGGATGCGTGCAGCAGGAGGGGCTGCAAGGTGCATTGTTTGAGGATGAGGAGGGGGAGGAAGTGCTGGTTGGGAATAAAGAGAAGAAGAGGACGTTTGTGCCGGATAGTGAGGATGAGGATGAGGATGAAATGCTGTTTGAAACGGGTGTTGGTGCTGTTGAAGAAGCGGGGGTACAACAAGATGTAGAGAAAGCTGAGGGAAATGCAGAGGCAGACGAACCAAAGCACATGGGAAACGGCTCCAGCACGCAAAACAGAATCAAGTTTATCCTAGTTGATAACTTGACTCATGTCCTGGAGCCCATGTTGAGGAAGGATAGGATTAAAGGTATGTCTTTTTTTTTCTTTCTTTCTTTCTTTCTTTCTTTTTTTTCTTTCTTTTTCTTTCTTTCTTCCCCTTTGGTTACTTACTTAGTTTCTTTCTCCCTTTACTCCACACATGACCCTGCGCCCAACCCCTCAACTCTCAACCCTCAGTCCAATCCAATCCAATCCAATCCAGTTCAGTGCAATCCACACGAAAACCGGGAAAACAAAATTACAAGAGATGGAATCGGAGAAAAAAAAAGGAAAGAGACGGGAAAAACTAACACAAGACAGCAACAGCACAAGCATCCGCCCATCTCGGCCATCTCGGCCATCTCACACATACCCATGCTCTCCACACCATCCTTGCAACCCGCGCTACTGCCGCCGTCGCTGTTCCCAGAGCTACGACGACGATGACGGCGGCGCAGTCGGGATGTGAGAGTGTGGTGTTGAATCCTCCTCACTCCCACTCCTTGAATCAACAACCATATCAACAGCAGCAGAACCAGCAACAAGAGCACCCCCAACCCTCCATCTTCACAAGCACAACTTCAACCCCCAATCTCAGCTCTATCATCGCTCCACATAGCGATATCCGCATGCTGGTTAGTACATTGCCGCTGCGCCGCAGGGATGCGAAGATGTTTTATTGGAAAGGGGAGGGCACCAGCAGTAGCAAGATGAGAGGAGCAAGGGGAGGAGGAGGAGGAGGAGAAGTGCAAATGCGGAGTGTAATTGAGATTCTGAGGGATCGATGGGGTGGTGGTGCTAGTGGGATAGGGGGGAGTAGTGAGGGGGCGTGGAGTGTGCTTTGAGAAGGGGAAGGGGAGGGTGAGGAAAGGGGTTGAGCATCTTGTTCTTTGTATTTTCGTGGTAATATTAGTGGTGGTGGTGGTGTGCATGTTCGTGTTTGTCGTGGTAATGGTAATGGTCATGGCAAGTATTTTAATATTCTTTCTACACATGTAAAAATGTCCATGTACAATGCGATGAGCTTCAAAGCACCCACTCTTCATCTCCCGAATTGCGTATCCATCCCCCCAATACACCCGTGACATCTTGCTTGACTCTCCGCCGTGCCGCGAGCTCATCACTCTGTTTCATATCCGCATACATTTGCTTCTTCTCCGCACTACTGCATGCCCCAGACACGGCGAGTAACCCCGCAAGACGCACGCTCTGGATCCACATTGCACGTCGCGAAATGCGGCTGGCGCCCCGGACGTCGAATTGCTTGCGGCCCTGCAACACGCCGCCGATGAGCGTCTCCTGCCAGTGCGGCGTCGACACTGCAGACAAGTTGCTTGGAATGGCTTTTTCAGTCGGGGCACGCACCGCGCGGCGGGACCACGCGAATTCATGCGTCGTGGGAAGCACGGTAAAGGGATGGAACTTGTAGCCATGGGACCAATTTTGCTCTAGATGCAGGTCAAGCACGTTTTTCAGACGCCCAGAGGCCGAAAAGGCGCGCGAACAGGCAGACGGAATGTACTGCGAGGCGGGGAGGATGAGCGTGTCGAGATAGGCATTTCGGGGGCTGATGAGGAGAGAGGTGGTGGAGGAGAGGAGGGAGAGAGATTGCTTTAGGGCGAGCTTGTCTGAGCACGATTTACTGAGGGTAGGGGGCGCGTCTGGGCGGGATGGTTTTGCGCGGACGACGCCGAGATGAGAGAAGTTTGAGCGGCCGCGGAGGGCGCTGGGATTGCTATCTTGTGATTCTGAAGAAGAACAAGTGGATTCGTGTGCTGGGCTGCTGGCTTGAAGCGTCGGCGGCGCACTGGTCCAGGGCGTGGCGTCGGCTTGCAGCGCCATGGTGAGTTCCATGCTGGCGTCGCCGCAGGGGGCTTCCGAGCAGTACATGTGCAGCGAGACATTGTCTCGGATGGTAAAGCGCTGGGGCGAGCCGTGTGGGGCTGGTTGCAAGACGTCCGACTGCGGATATGGTGGTGTTGAGATGCGCAGGCATTCGTCGACGAGATGGCGGTTCAGCGCCCTGATGGCCACGACTTCGGCGTGCCAGTCGTGCAAGACATTGCCCTTTGCGCGGGCGAGCCTACTTGACGGGAGGCATTTCATGCCGGTTCTGAGCGTGTTAGTAATATATGTATATATATATATATTTCTCGTCACGCCATTGCACAGCCTCGTATAGTGGTGCGTCATGGCTGCTGTTCGATGCATACGGCTGACGAGGCCACGATGCCCTGATTAGTGGACGCGTCGTCTCGCAGCGGGCGAAGGAATATTGAAAAGCAATTAGCTCACCCGAGGGATACACACGACAGCGTATCGCCTTGCTAGTCGAGGGGCATAAGCAAATATAGCCTCGTGCGGGATGCAGGCGGGCGATTACCTTGAGATAAGACGACGCCGGCGAGGGGCACCCACTCGCGCTCGCCATGGCTGCGGGGCCGTGGTTTTCGTTTTGGCGGCAGACAGTCAAATGCCGCGAGCACGCAGGCGGCGATGGCATCGGGGTCGGGTGCCATGGTCGTCTGATCTGGGGGGTGATGGGAGCGGCGAGGCAAGGCGAGGCGAGGCGAGGCGAGGCGAGGGCAGGGCGGGCGTGGGGCGGCGGGAGCAACGGGGTGAAACTCGCGTCGGGCATTTCCATGGCAAAGCATCCCTCCTACCAACTCGACGACCACACAACCCTGTCACCCGCACCAGACGAGTAAGACGTCTCTCACCGCGGGCGTGTCTGCTGTGCCCGGCTTCCGTCCATATACCCCGTCTGCCTATGCCGCTTGCGTCGGCTCCTCCTCCCCCTCCTTCTTCAACATGCAAGCGTTTGGTGAGCAATGGCTATGCGGCGCACCGTCGTATTCGCGGCTCACACACTCACGATTCCAGTCCCCAAGAACCGACGCGTAAGGCACTGCTCCGCTGACTCGACCGTGTTTGCGGGCTGACAAGTTGTGCAGCCAAAGTTTGACCTGCACCTGAGGGTGAGAAGCTGCCCGCCATGCGCTGTGCTGTGCTGTCCTCTCCTGACCTGACGGCGCCAGATCCTCGACCTCAACAACGTCCCCCTCGTGTCGGGCACGTCGTTTATAAAATGGCACCTCGCGCACTCGACGGCCGCCGAGCACCGCGGCCGCACCAGCAGCTGCCCCGTCAAGGACCACAAGGTTGCCTACGACTACGAGGCGACGCTGCCCGTCCGGCTGACGGTGGACAAGAGCGGCATGCTGCAGGAATGCTACATTGAGTTTGAGGTTGTGCAAGAGTACGGCACCGCCAAGGGCGAGAGAATCACACTGGGCACCATCAGGCTCAACCTGGCCGAGTATGTCGAGCAGAGCGAGATGGGCACTGCTGCCGGCGAAGAGCCCGGCGTCACCAGGCGCTACCTCATGCAGGACAGCAAGGTCAACAGCACGCTCAAGATTGGCATCTACATGCGCCAGGTCGAGGGCGACAAGAACTTCATTGCGCCCGCCCTGAAGACGGCCCAGGTCTTCAGCGGCATTGCGGGCATCATGGCCGGCGACCAGGCCGAGCTCGAGGACCAAGGAGGCAAGCACTGCTGCTGCTCGTGGGCGCCGACTCTTTGCTGACGTGCACAGCCACACACTCGTTGACCAACAAGTCGCGCGAAGCCGGCGAGCTGCAAGACATGTACAGGCGCACGCTGGCGGCATACTGGTCGGCGCAGCCCGGCGAGCTCAAGGCCGACGAGTGCATTGAAGACATATTTGCTGGCGGCGACGGCTGGGGCGACCGCGACAAGGCGTCGTCGCACGCCCGCCCGCAAGTGTTGCGCTTTGCGGGCGGCGACAGCAGTGGATCAGTGAGCGAGAACGAATCGAGGCACATGCACAGCAGCAGTATAAGCCGCAAGTCGCATGAAACACTGCGGCCCGGGGACATGAAACCCGCGCGCTCGCAAAACGTGCGAGGCCGAGAGAGCCTGGAGCAGCGGGCATCCCACATGAAGGCGGAGGCGGCGCGGCAACGGCAGCGTCCGAACCAAGAGGTGGACGAGTTTGATCTGCGCGAGGACCTGGTCAGCTGGCACCGGCCAACGTGAGCAGGAGAAAAAAAGTTAGACATAATCATGAGATCTTTTTTTTTGCAATGATTGCCCTCCGAGTGTTGTGAGCATCGTTGCCGCATGACGTGGATTGAGGCATGACGCGCCTGGCACGTGAAGGCGCGACGGCAGAATTAGGCGGTGGCCAAAGTGGATGCAGGCCGCATCGCACTTTTGCGCACCCGACGCTGCCATTATCATTGCATCCTCGCCCCGCTTCGTCCTTCTTCATGCTTGCACCCCGTGTCCCCAGTGCATTTGTATGCCTCCGATGTGAAGCGCAAATTGCCCGCCGCCGACTGCCTGCTGTTCCCTACACATTCCCCCGCGCCTACTTTTCCGCCTCTGCACGCCAAAACCATGATGGAGAAAATATCGACGCCCTCTCCGACGCCCCGCAGCACAGGGTCAAGATCACAAAGATTGTCGAGCCGCTCAATCGACTAAGGAGGAGGAAGGGCAAGATTGTACGAGAGACGTCGGCGAGCCTGCGCGGAATCAAGCAGCTGGGCGACAATGCCGACATCTTGGTGCTGAGGGAAATTGCAGACACTGCAGAGCAGGAACGAGCCCAAGACAGCCCAGAAATTGAGCCTTCAGACCCCGTCCAAGTCCCGGATATCGTGGCCTCGCTGCAGCAAGAGGGCAAGGCCGTCACGCCTGAAGAGATATACCAGCAGGTTGGGAGTCTGCGGCCACGCAACCATGGAGAGCCCGACGAGCCACACTACATCAAGCAGACTACCTTTGTCAGACTGCGAAATCTTCTCATGAACGGCTTTACCCAGCAGCAACTGATGACGTTCTACTCGGTTGCAAAGAATATCGAGCGCAAAGATGTCAACCAGGGCGTCCTTGACAGTCTGAAGCGAGACGAGGACAATCCCAAGGCCCCAGTTGAGCGGTCTGAGTGGCAGCCAGGCACCACGAGCATCACACAGCGTCTGCCCGGAACCGACCGCCATGTCAAAATCATGGGCTGGCGCAAGAATGTCAGCAAGCAGCTGCTGGTTGACCGCATCCTGCGCGACCCGTGGAACCTGGTGCTGTTGGAGGAGATTGAGGCGCCTGGAGAAATCGAGCTCTTTCTGAAGCCATGGCAGCTGGCGCTTCTTACCGTCGGAGGTGGGTGTCCTTGGTATCTGGTGGAAGCGTCACTAACACTCTGCAGACCACAACGTTCTCGACAAGATTGGGATGATCCGCAAGGCCAAGTTTCAAATCTACAAGCCGCATGCCATTATTCGCATCACCGCCGACAAGAGCACTGCAGAGTACGCTGCCAATGACATCGAAGAGGCCTTGCAGCATACCGAGGTGCGGCGGATGCACCTCAAAAACTATCTCAAGGTGCTGGTGGATGGCGCAGTACCCAAGGACGAGAAACTCGATCTGGCAGTGCTCTATTCGCAAAAGGATCTGGGCGCCATCGCATCGCTCACCAAGACGAGTATTGCGGTCACTGCAAGGAACATTGTAAGTTGGTAATGGCATTGGCGCCGGACGTTGCTGACTTGCATAGCTTACCATCAGGGGCTTCGACAATGCGGCTGTTGAAGAGGCAAAGCGAGCCTTGATCCGGTTGCTGCCTCTCAAAGAGCCTGTTGCCCGCACTTCAGACATGCTAAACCTGGGCGCTGCCGCAGCTTCAATCTATCCAGCACCGATATACGTAGAGAAAAGCCTGCTAGACTACCAACATCGCAACACGGTACTGGGACGTTTGTCGATGCCCATCGAACGACTCGTAAAGCCGGAATCCGCAGACGATGCGCAAGAACCGGCCGTGGCTTCCAAGTCTCCCAAGGCAACGCTGCGAGGCCTGGTAGACAGGACTGCAGCTACTGTAATTCGTTCTATTCCCAGTGTTACTTCTATGGAGGAGTCGGGCAACTGGGTTGCTGAACCGGAAAAAAAGCTGGGTGCTCAGTTTGGCCAAGCCCTGGTTCCTCTCGACAATATGCATTCTGAAGAAGCACAGGGCAGCACGCGACCCTCTCCAGTCGCTTTTGCGCCTAGTTTCCCTGGGCTTTCGGGTATTCTTACGTCGTCTGACCTCTCCGTTACTGCACGCTTGCGAACACCGTCTCTACTCTACCAATTCCGACCTGACCCCGAACAGACTGACTTTGACGCCGACCAACTGTTTCCCAACCTGCAGGTACGAATGCGCACGGACCGCCATGGCGTCAAAGCCAGTATTCACAAGGTGACAATTAGATTTGGACAGCGCGTGCACTCTGTATCGCTTCCGAATAAGGCGGTGGATCTCCAATTCTACCAGCATGGAAGCCTGAGGCTGCGAAAAGACTTTGAGGACCCAACCCTCCAGAAATGGATCGACACCGTTGTCAGGAACATTGAGAGTGGGGGACGTCTTACGGCGCCACCGCTTAGCCTCGCCATACCCAAATGGACCATCCCTGGCTTCTCGAGCGACGAAAAGGGCATGGCCACGGTCAAGTACCATTTTGCGGGCGTGGAGTTTCTACAAACCGTCGCAGGCAACATTCTGGGCGAAGACATCTCGTACAGCACTAAGCAGTCGGGCAAACTGAATGCAAAGGGCGCTTCACTCGAGGCGCATTACAGCGGCCATGGCGATACCCAGATGCGCGACGAGACTGCTATCAAGGCGTTTATCAAGCGATGCTATGATATTGTCGACTTGATTACAAATGCGAGTGTGAACACGTCTCCGCTGGCCAGACTGGTACGTCCGAGGTATGCCGACAGCGCACGGAAAACGAAGCGATCAGCTGCTTTAGATGAGGTGAAGGTGGACGACGTGCGTGGAGAGGCATCGAAGCAGCTGCAGGATCGTGTTGCAAGTTACCCCAGTGAGCAAGAACCGGCTGCAAGTGAGATGACTGCAGTGGAAGAGGCTGTGGGGGGTGAGGCTGTGGGGGGTGAGGCTGTGGGGGACGAGACTGTGGGAGACGAGGCTGCTGGAGATGAAGCTGTGCAGGGACAAGAGGATACGACACCGTCGTCGGTGTCAAGCGTACCTGATGTAGAAGAAGAGCAGTCTATCAAGTCTTAGACTACACGTATAGCAAGACGTTGTAATCAAACTATCATCACTCTTATGTTCTATTTGATTCGTCCTGTTGGATTACTAGAAGTGCTGGATTGCTAGGGGTTTTACTTATAGGTCTTGCGGTAAGGAGTGCACCACGCCTAATAGCCACGCCTGATAACCGTCCGGCAACCACCCCGACAACCACCCCGACATCTACCAGTACTATTACCGACCCTTCCCTAAAACACATCTTCTATGCCTACCACGAACAGTATGCACTAATCAATCCAGCTCATCTAATACCTACTTGGTAATTAGACAATCTACCCGGCCCACCTGGCAGCTCTACCATGTACTAGGCTCCTACTGTTGGCTACCATCACTTCCATCACTGTTGACACTGACATTCAATAACGAGCGAATAAGTTTAGAACTGACTCAGTAACGAGCGAGTACTTTTATAACTGACTCAGTAACGAACGAGTACTTCATAACTGACAACTGTAGTAGCGGTCTTAACGTCCAAGGCGGCGCAAAAGAGTGAAGCGCAATTGAACCATACAGACCAACACCCGCCTAGGCAGATGCAGGAGCAGCAGCCCCAATAACCGTCTTTCCAGCCATACTCTCCAGACGCTTAAATCCTCCATTCTGCTTGACTCCCTCCTGCAGAACAAGCATCCTCTTCTGATCGCCAGCCGGATCCTCAGCCTCGGCCTCAAGACGCCAATCCAAAAACTCGTTTGTGTAATTTGGCGTAAACGTCTCGTCGAGCACACCGAGCCGCTTTCCGTACCGCGTCACCTTGTCCCAGTCGCGCTGGACATTTTGCAGATCGGGGCTAAAGTAGGCAAAGCTGCGTTCGAAAATCTTGCGGTTCGTCGCCGTGTTCATGACAGACTTGACGCTGCAGAACTCGGCCCACGCTTCATCAGGCGACGCCAGCACAAAGTCTGTTGCGCGCTTGCAGGCGCGCAGGAACGCGCGGACTTTGTCTGGGTTGTTCTCGATAAACGCATTGTTGCCAATGTACAGGATGCTGCAGAAGCAGCAGCATCCCAGCTGGGCCAGCTCGTCGATTCTCAGCATCTGGACCTGGTCGCGCGACCGGTTCTGCGATACCAGCCACTCTTCCAGCTCCACCATTTGCACATTCTCCAGCCCAATGCCAGCGTCAATCTCGCCCTTGATGATGGACTGCGTCACGTTCATGCCCACGCGCACGGCTTGGTAGTCGTCGGGCGACATGCCGTAGTGGGCCGTCAGCTCATCAAGCTGGATCTTGCCGAATTCACCCACATATCCAATCTTCTTGCCCTTGAGCGTCGTAAAGTCCGGCGTGATGCCCGAGCTGCGAAGGTACACGACGCCTGTAAACGGCTCGTTGAGCAGCGATCCGATGGACTGCACGGGAAAGCCGCGGGCGGCCGCTGCGAGCGTGTGGATCATGGCTTTGAAGCCGAGATCGACTTTTCCCGATCCAATGATCTCGGTAACATCCTATGTGGTGTTAGGGCCTTGAAGGTAGGATACAAGGTCAGTTCTAGCCCGTACGCTTGGATCGTTGGGTTCAAGCAGCGCAACTTTAATCCCCTCTTCTTTGAAGTATCCCTTGCTCTGTGCAAGGTACAGCGGCGCATGGTATGGCGTAGCGTGCCTACTTATCAACATCAGTCCCCGAGACTTCTTCCGTACCACAAGACTAAGAGAAAAAAAACACTGTCAGCGCACCAGTTGGTCAGGAACGTAATCTTGTCCGTCGACATGTTGCTTCACTATGCTCGTCAGCACACCCAACGTCCCCCGGAGAGGGGGGGGGGATCTAAGAGAGAGAAAAAAGGGAGTGGGGATATCATCATGAAGCAGCACAAGTCCTTCGCGCTGGAATTATCCAGATCAAGTTTCAACGGTATAATCTCAGACCAAGTCCCCCCATTTGCGTATGCTCCCCTCCCCGTCCATGTGGACTTGAGTAGTAAGTAGCAAAGTTACGCAATTTGGGGGAACTTGGACACCCGCCCATGCTTTTTTTCGTGATGCGTGATTTTCTTTTTTTTTCTTTCTTTCTTTCTTTCTTTCTTGGTGTGAGATAGGTACCTGTGTGATGTTCTGCAAGCAAAAACATCTCTCTCTCTCTCTCTCTCTCTCTCTCTCTGCCACTACTATTGGACTTTCCATCTTTTCACTTGATTGCGACTGGACAATTCGAGGGCTGCGAGCGGAGCTTTGCGGGAGCTGGCTGGATGCATGATTCTTTTTTTCTTTTTGTAGTGGTATTCGTACCAATGTATATATGTATATATATATATATATATATATATATATCGTCGTAAGTAAGTGAATAAGTAAATGTAAGAGTAGTAAGTAATCAGAAGCCTTGGTTAAATCGATGTTCGTCGCACCACAAAAGAAAAAAGAATTCCAATCCGAAGAACGTGGGGATTTTATACTAATAAGTACACTTGACTTCACATCACTTCACTTCACACTCCCCCCCCCCCACACACTCGGCCCTTTTTTCCTTCCATATACGTACATGTCCATAAGCGACAGGGAGGGGGGGTTTTTTTTGTTGAGCTGTAAGTATGACATGCTAATTCGCTCACTACTTGCTACCTCGCATGGCGGGCGTTAAAGCAGCAACAGTTGCTGCTGCTTATTGCTGGTGCGGGGCACTCAATTGAGGGGTAAGTGTAGCCAAGTAAGTAACTTTGGTAGCTAAGACACCATCACGATACCTTTTGTTTCGTACTTACCACTACGTATGATACTTATGTCCGCGGCCCGGGCGTGTCTCCGCTTCAAACCCCTCACCCATAACCTATCCCTAATCCCTATACTGGAGTTTCAATTGATTCTGCATTTACCTCGCTCTCCTTTCAACACATCTCACCTCGCCCATCTCTCTCCCCTCCCACCACCAAAGGAAAGTTAAAAAAACTGCACTTCCACCCCACACATGCACCACGACGCCATATGCTAGCCCCCCCCCCCCAAACCGAACCAAAAACAACACGCACACACGCACACACATGGTGTGATGTGAATTCTTCCAACCCAATCAAAATCCACGTTACCCCTCCCATCTTTCCCAAAACTCAACCCAACCTGCATACATAAACCATGTAGTCATCATCATAATCATCACAAGCTTTTTACCTTTTACCTTTGCAACCGCCCCCCCCCCCACGCCCCCACGCACGCCCACGTAACCCCTCATGCCCCAAGAAAATCCAGACTCGCTCCGACGGTGGAAATTTTCGCTGCTGGCACGTGGGCTGGTATGAATGGTTTGGAGAGATTTCCGTTGATAAATGTATATACATTGTAAGGAGAAGTTGGGGGATAACGCTCTTACGGGGTGAAATCGTGCTGTAATGGATTGAGTAAGTACGCCAATTTGATTTGCTATTTACATGTGATAATGCATTCCAGACTCTCTCTCCACACACACACACACACACACACACGTACCCCTCATTTCACTCCCAGCATACCATCGCCCATCTCACAGCAGTCAAAGTCATATAATCTATATAGAACCCACCCAAAAATAATAAAATAAAAACAAAGAAGCATGCATACATGCATACACATGTCCAGCCCCCCCCCCTGTCACGTTCCTACCAAAAATCCACAAAACCATCCTCGTCACCACCCTCCATCCCAAGCCAAAAATCCTCGGCATCAGCAAAATACGAAGCAAACATGTCGTCGTCTTCAGCAGCAGACTCTGTGCCTGCGAAATCCAGCGCCTCGCCATACACGCCCGTGGTGAAGCTTGTAAACAGGATATCTGGGGGTAGAACTGATGATGCTTCGTCTTCTGTTTTCAGATGTGGTTGTTGCTGGTGAGTAGAATCCAAGTTGCACTCATCGTGATGGTCATCAGCACACGCAGCGAGACTCTGCTGTCGTATAGAAAGACCCGTGATGTTTCTCGCTAGTTTGGCAATGACATTTGGATCGCCGTCGCTTGATGTGCGTCTTTTTCTGCTTGCTCTCGCTACGGCATTAGAAGAAGAAGAAGAAGAAAGAGGGCATGGCGATGATGAGGAAGACGACGAAGAAGGATCACGGCATTTCCACTCGGACATGGTAGCCCCGTTTTTGAAATGCCCAGAGATATGTGTCTGGCGTGCGTCCCATGTGCTTATTTGCAGCGCGCAGAAGCCACAGGTCCAGTGCTCGATGCTGTCTTTCCGCATGCTGCTGCCGCCGCCGTCTCGACGCCACAGATCGCGGACTGAGTCGGACAGAGTGGCTTGATGGAAGTTCTTCACGTGCTGCCGGAGGTGGTCTGGGCGGAGAAACGTGCGGTCTTCTTCTGGCTTGGCCATGCATTCGTGGATGCGGTGGGAGTCGCGCAGGTGCTCTTCGCTGGGGTTCTGGAGCATGCAAAAGGCACAAGAGGGTGTGAGCTGCGAACTACAGGGTGCTGGAAGATGAAGAAGAGGGCCGGTGTGGAGACAAGTCCATTTTCGTTTCGGACGGTGCTGTGTTTCTTCGTGGCGGCGCCACGATTTAGGGGCTACGTTCTGGTAGCAGAATGTGCATTGCCACATGTTTGGCGCGCGGTTGTCTTGCGGGATTGTTTCGAGAGCTGGGACAAAAGGCTTTGCTAGTTTGCGTTCCGAAGCGGGTGATGGAGGGCCCAAGTGGCTGTAGTCTTTCTTCTTGCCGCGTCTAGAGCTTGATGGCTTTTGACTGCCATCATTTCCAATATGGCGCGACGACTCGGAGCCTTGGTGGGCACTACTGGAATCAAGGAATGGTGCCACTCTCATACCCGACTCATCCATAGTCCAAGTCCCCTCTTCAAGCCCAGACCCCGATTTCTCCGTATAGTTTGCAACTCTTCGCCGTGCTCTTGCGTTGGTAAACCACGTCGTCACCTGCTTTTCCGTGATACCGCACTGCTGGGCCAAATCGCGCTTTGTATCCACATCGGGATACGGATTGCTGCTATTCTCTCGCAGCCATTTCTTCAAGCACCGCAAGGCATGGGACTCGAGCTTGGTAGGCGGGCGTCGAGCACAAGAGCGCTTAATCTTGGATGCGGCACTGGGCGATTCCGGGGAAGACATGTCTAGAGTGCAAGAAGCACAGGTGCGGGTCGGATCCTGAGCGAGGAATGCTGAAATCTCGCATGCCGAGCATCGTCCGCTGCCATTGCGGTTGGATACATGTTCCAAGGACAGTGTGTTGGCCGGTTCCACTTGCAGTGCAATGGGCGTCACTACTTGCTCAGTTCCAAATTGCTCGATAATTTCGGGTGAAAATGTAGCTTCGGATGACAACGCAGCCTTGCGACTGCACTCATCGCACTTCAGATTTTCCCCAGGATTCGTAATACGCCAAAGCCGGCACAAGACACACTCTTGCTCAGTTCCAGAGGCCTGGAGCCGGGCATCACTAGTGGAAGCCAACTTTGTCGTGAAAACATTAAGCTTGGTCGTCACTGGTGCCGTCGGAGACCCCAGTCTCTGCAGGCGAAGTTGGCCCTCAACCTGGACTTTGTACGGCTCACCAGATCCCCAGTTGAATTGTTGCTGAAGTGCTGCAAAGGGCTCCTGGGACGGAGTGTCCCAGAAAAAGTCGGCCTGAGGTCATTAGCAACTACTTGGTTGGTAGTTTAGCTTATGGGTTGTGTATGTACGTGGGAGCTTTCTTCCTCTTCCAGAGTGTTGGACCCATAGCCCGAGTCAAAGGACCAGATGCTGGCCGCCTTGCTTTTCCCTTTGGGTGGTAGCATCGTGGTGCGAGGTGAGGCTATGATGTGCTTCTCCCACGCTCTATGTGGTGTTAACTGCGCGGCACTACAAATGGGAGACAAAGTCTGGACGAGGAACAAAAGTAGCAAGAGACATATCTCGACGGATTGCAATGGGGATGGATGACCTTATGCTGAGATACAGGGTGCCAGTGGCTGTGTTGGACGCCTGATTGAGGCACTGGTGTGGCGCACGCCTGACATTGGCTAGTGCACTTGTTCAGACGATGACGAAATGACGTTAGAATGTCAGCTTCAAGAACTTGTCCTCGTACTACAGGCCAGAGCGACCTTCATAGTCTAGATCGACATTTGATTCCCACGGCTCTTCGACATGTGACAGCGCTACATAGCGAATAGACATTGCTAAGATAGGCTGCACACTTATCCATGCGAAAGATTCAAGTCCAACGAATATTAAAGCATCCAGAAACAAGATAAAAAAGAAACTATTTAATCCTATGTATTCTCTCACCACACCTCTTACCACAATACCTCTCTACCAACCCAATTAATCAATCAATTAATTAATGGAGAAAAAAAATGGAACACAGAAACTTCAACAACGGAACAACACAAGAGTTTTTCATAATGCAAGCAATTCGTAAAAAGTCAAAGTCAAAGTCAAAGTAAAAAAAAAAGAATTGTAGTGTGGGGAAGTCATGACGCTCTCTATACGTCGCAGAAAAAGGGGGGGGGAGAAGAATTACACACATCTTCATTCACCCCTCCCCGGAACCACCTTCGCACCTTCGCACCTTCCCCCATATTCCCAGTTTCCCATTGCCATTCCTATTTCCATTCCCATTTCCATTCCCATTTCCATTCCAAATCCCAGTTTCGTGTCCAAAAGAAGGAGGGGGAGGGGTGTTCGTAAAAGTCGTTCTAGATGCCTCCAAAGGAAAGAAAGAAAGAGAGAAGAAAAAAACAATAGTCTTTTTTACCTGTCTTGGTCTTCTTCTTATTGCATTTCCTCTTTTATTGTCCAACCTCACCCACAACACCACTACTTCCACTGACACCAGGAGCAGGGACAGAACCATCTTCAGCAGTACCTCCACTAATGCCTTTACACCACGGATGCTCCAGTACCATGCTAATTGTAATTCTCTTCTCCACATCCCGGTCCAGCATCAACCGGATGAGATCAATGCTTTCCTCCGACATGACCCAAGGCACGCGCAAATCATGGTCCATGATTTCGTCAATTGAGTAGAACGGGTTCTCCTTGTAGACAATGGTGTAAAGGAGGATGCCGAGGGCCCACACATCTTGTTCCTTGCCGCGGTAAGCTTTCCCAGCTAGTACCTCAGGAGCGGCGTAATCTGTCAGACAGTTAGTATTTGTAAGTAATGTAAAAGTAAAAAAAAAGGCATACCGATGGTGCCCACAAAGACATCAAAAGGCCCGCTCTTGATGTATGCTGCACTTCCAAAGTCGATGAGCTTGATATTGCCTTCACCGTCGAGCACTACATTTTCGTCCTTGATGTCACGATGCACGACCTTTGCCTTCGTGTGCAGGTGGTGTACCGCCTCAGCAACTTGAACAAAGATCTTGCGGCACTCCTTCTCTTCCATGTTGACTCGCAGCTCAATGTAATCAAAAAGATCCATGCCTGGTAGGCCATGCGGTATCATTTCAATGTAGTAGTTGATATCGTCCTCGAAAAAGTCGGCCATTTCGACAATATTGGGGTGTTTGAAGCCATCGCGGCGGAGATAGTCCAGAACGTGAATCTCAAGAGGTACCGTTCCCAGCCGTCGATCTCGCGTCCATGTGTCGACGAGAATGCGCCTCTTTGTAACGTACTTGATCACCACCTTCTTGTTGCTGGCCTTTTTGTACCGACAGAGCTTAACTTGTCCGTACGCACCCTGGCCCATTTCTTCCAGCACGACAAAGTCGTTGATGGTCTTCTTGTGAGGTGGCTCTTCTTGCACTGGCGCCGGGGGAGGCGGCATGGACTTGGTTTGGGGTTCCTGTGGCGCCATAGGCTCCATGGCTTCCTGAATTTGTTGCGTCAAGAGCGATACTCCAGGCGGAGTGCCCTGGGATTGATGTGATTCTGGCTCATGCGGAACGGTAAAATTCGATTGGCCGGGCTGGAGTTGGCGTGGCGAAGGCGGTCGTGAGATGAGAGGAGTCACCGGGCCAATACCGTGGTTCGCAGCGTGTAGCTGCCTGGAGTACGTGATCCACAAAGCGTAGACCAGTTCAGGACATTTGGCGGGTTTGGGCGGTGAACCATCCTCCTCTTCGATTACATTCTCATCGAAGCGAGGCGTCTTTTCGCTCTTGACCACGCGCATTTGCACATCGACCATGATTTCGGAGCCGTCGCGGTGGAGAGCTGGCAGGCCGCTTGGCTTCAAGAAGATGGCAGCCGCGTCTGCGCTGCCTTCGCGCATCGCTAGCAGAGCCCGGGCGCGGCGGAAGCTGTGCTCGGGAATGACTATGCCATCCACCAGCTCAATCTTGTCTTCATCGGTCATGACGTGCAGTATCTTGTCAAAGGCGGGTATGAGCTTGCTGATATGGACGCCTTCAGGGCGCGGCTGTCCGAACAAGGCCGAGGAGAAGACCGAGTTGGAACTTGTAATCTTGAGGTCGGCGGACGAGAGAACGATGATGCCAGCAATGTGCGGGAAGCTTGAGATACGGAAGGTAGGCTCGCCGGGCAGGGCTTCCACGGTTACCGGAATGTTGATACTGTTTGACGTCCGAGCTGTATAGCTACGGAACTCATCGATCGAATCATAGTCTAACGCTCCAGTGTTTGTGCCCCGAAGTCGCGGTATGCCAGGTATTAGTCGCTTCAGGTCCATGCCGCGCCGCAACCGATCGCTTCCGAAAACGGCTTCTGTCGCGCCCCAGCCCTTGGATACGCAGCCTACTTCATCAACGGTGATGTACACGACGTCTTCTGCAATCTCCTCTAGCACCCAGATCAGGCTACCTCGCTTCTCTTTCACCCACAGGCTGGCAGATCCCGTTGAACCATTGCGCTTCTGAATGGGTATGACGTCGCCGCATAGCAAGACGCCCCTCGAGCCCTTGTGCTCGTGGTTCAACTTGCCCGTCTTCTTCGCGTTATAGTACGAGGATCCGCTGCCATCGTCCGTCTTTGCTTTTCTCGCAGCCGTAACGCGCGACGGAGCCTTGCTGAGCAACCGCGCTGTCACCCCGCTGCCGACCTTGAGGTTGTTCACACCTGGCGACGCTGGTGACTGTGCATTCTTTGAGCCCACTTCAGGGTCTCTCAGCTTGCCCTCGAGCCATTTCCTGCGATCTTCTCGTACAACCTCGAGTATGCCCAGCTTTCGGACTTCAGCTCTCGTGACGCCAAAGACCAAGCATGCCAGGTCGTTGGCGGACGTGATTGTCCATGGCGATTCTGTCTCGGTAGTGAAGATGGCTTGTGCAGCTGGCACGTGTCTGCTGCCGTGGCCGTGTGGCGCGGCTCCAGCAGAATTGGGGCCTGCTTGATTACTGAAGCTTGGTGTCAAAGCGGGCATAGTCGTGGGTGAGACTACGTCGCTGACTCTTTCCTGGTCCCCGACTCGGTACGGCTGCGCCAAGGCGTCGTTGAGTTGACTTTGGATGGTCAGGGGCACGACGTCAGTAAGCGTGCGTTTCAAAGCAGCTCGTTGCGGACGCAGGGGTGGCGGGGGTGAAGACGAGGTTGCTGGTGCGCGTGAGCTTGATGATTCGGAAGTGAGATCGGTGCTCGACGTGCTTCGGGCACCTCGGGAGTCCGAAGCGCTGCTGGTGTCGCCCGCATCGCCTGCCGTCGCTCGATGGACCGGCGGCTTTGCTGTTTCCAGCATGCTTTCTGGGCTCTCTGAGCGTTCGGCCATGAAACCCCTTTCAAAGGGATTGTCACCAGACATGTCTGCTGGCCCCGTCACCGGCCCCAGCGCGCCAAAGCCATGGGCGCCCGTGCCGTCCTGGCCTATGAGGTTTGCCCGAGTAAGAAGTTCCATCATGCTCTGCACCTCTTGGTCGCCACTAAGCCTTGCCTGGGCGTTTGCAATTCCGGGGTTGGTCGCGGCCCAACCCAGCCTGTCGCGCATAAACTCGATGGAGCGTTTTAGCACATTTTGGCGATTGTGGATGAATTCCTCTGACTGCGTCGCAAACGAGAACGAGTGCAGCGACTCGGAGGGGAAGCGAGAGAGGTCTTCGCCAAAAGCAAACGTGGGCGAGGCGGGGGCGGTGGGCGTCGACTCGGAGGGGTGTCTTGATACGGGCGGGGTGGTGATGTTCAGCGAAGTAGCCCGTTGAGCGGTCAACTGTTTATAGCTGGGCTGCTGGCGAATGCGACGCAGGCCTGAGGACCCTAGACCATGTTCATGTTCTGGAACGATGGGCGACCTAATGCAGACGCGTCAGCCACTACTACTCACCATTAAGCGGCGAGCGCTCCTTCCGCCGCAACACGCTCGTCTCGTGTCCCGAGGGGCTGCCACTCACCTCGCCATGCGATCGAGTTGTCCTGCATCGATGCTCAGGCGCTTGGCCGTGTCCAAGGCGGGCGGCGGGGGGCCGGAGCGGTAGTTGAGCAGGCTCGGGGTGCTTTTCGTCTTGACCAGCGGGGCATATTCGGTGGCAGGTTGTGAATGCGACAGGGAGTCGAAGGGTGCTTCTTCTGGTAGAGAGCCTGGCGGGGTCAGAATGTCAGCGGGCGAACCCATGTATGTATAAGTGCACTTTGCCAAACGTCGGGTGGCGGGCAACGGAATGCGTCGTGTAGCGCAGTGCAGTCAGTGCAGTCAGTGAAGTCGGGTAGGCGTGGCGGCCCTTATGCAGTTGCTCTCTCCCTCTCCCTCTCCCTCTCTCTCTCTCGGTGCCTCGACGTCGTGTTGGAGCGCGAGACGGAGCGGTGTGTAGCTTACGATGGCGGCTGCGAGGCGCTTTTGGAGGGGAACACGCCCGTCGAGGCGGTCGTGGGCGTCACCATCTGGGGGCTGAAGGTCATTTGACGTACCATGATCATTTGGCCTGCTCATTCCCTGAGGCGTGCGAGCGCCCGTTCCCAGGCCTGGGTGGTTGTCTGTGCTCGGTAAGATCAGACGCAGCGAATGACGACAGAATGACTAGGCCTTGGTCTACAGGTACACGGTATGATAACGTGTACTGGCCCGTGTGTCGCGTTGGGGAGCGGGAGCGGCTTCTGGGGTACGGAGATGGGATGGGTGCGTGGGTGGTGCAAAGGGCCCTCTGGTGGCGGGGTGCACGTCTTGTTCCTACGGCGGATGTCACCTGCGCAGCCAATCCCAGCCGGCGAGTGGAAGAATGCGAGGCGTCGACAGAGGCGGCAGTCAGCAGAGGAGCAGCGGTGGCAGCAGTAGCTGTGTGGTGTAACTGTGGCTTGGCTGGTGCGGTAGCAATAGCGGGCGAGTATGGAGAGCAGCAGCAGCAGTAGCAGCAGCAGCGGCGGCGGCAGCAGTATGGAATTACGTCGCGGGCCCTCTGCCACTCGAGACGGTAACGGCGGCGTTATTTGCATTGCGCCCCGTTGGCCCCGCGAAGTGCACAGACGACCCGCCCCGTGGTCCACGCTATCAGATCAGATCGTCGTGCCAGTCCCAGTGCCAGTCCCAGTGCCAGTCCCCGTCCAGCCAGAGGTCAGCCCTGCCCACACCACACCACACCACACCGCACAACTGCAGCGTTGCGTGTCGTTGCAACGCGGGTGCTGCTCACCTGGCCCCGTGGTCTGCCCGTCTCGCCATGCATCGTGGCCATGCAAGGCCCTGCTACCCACCGCATGCCACCACCCGCCGACAAACTTCCGCTAAGTCTTTCTTTCTGCCATGTGTGCTTTTTCCACCCGCGCTTTCAATCACACTGCGTCCAGGCTAAACGTCCCGCCACTCCGCCCGCCGTCGCTGCTGTCATGCCACACACTCGCCCTCGTCGTGCAATCCACGGCCCCTGGCTGCTGGACCGAGAGCCAGCCCTTCTTCGCTCTCCACACGTAAACCCAAGGCATTACATCATTGTGAACCCGATTCACATTGCCGTAGCCTCTCCCCTTGTCCGCAAATCCACCGCGCCGACGATTCGTCCGCTCCAGCCATGTGATCCGGAACACACCCAAGCCATCATCGCTGCCGAAGAGCATCTCTGTGCTGGTTCCAAAAGTTCCTGCAACCTAATAGCAAAATCAGCGCATGAGTGGCAAGGCTTGGCAGTGGGCGAAGACGCACCTCGATGCATGTTGGTTTGGTCGATCCACCACTCGCCAAAGCTGTCATCGGTAGCCAAGTCGGCTGCAGTCACTCTTTCTTCTCTTTTGAGCCCACATAACATGCAAGCCTGCCGTGCAGGTATACCGCCCTCGGACTGCTTCAACGTCTTGACAGGCATCGTCTCTTGCAGGTCGGGGCCGCGATCCAAAGCACCCGCTCTGATCTGATTGACACCCGCAACCACATGTCGCAGCCTTCCAACCTGCTCTTTCCAGCTTCTCACCACGTCGGCAACTTCTCGCTCTTCCTTGAGGTTTTCGCCCTTGTCGATACCCGTTAGCTTCATTCCAGAAGTTGCTCGTGATGACGCTGGCCCTATTCGCATGCCCTGAGACAAGTGCTGGTCTCGTTTCCAGCGCAGCTTTCGTCCTGCGATAATGTGTGCCGCCACGTTTGCCAGCATGAGATAGCCCTCAAGGTAAGCAGTCGTAGCTGGCTCGGCGAGCAACTTGTTCCGCATGGGTAGGGGCTGTGCTGCCATGGGCTTGAAAAGCTTTTCCTGTGCCTCCGTGAACATGGAAGGAAAGAGCGAAAGCAGAACTCCAGGTGGTGGAACGTTGGTCGGAGGCAACTCGCCAGGCTGTGGGTCAGCTGTTATGGGAGAGAGTATCGGCGGCGGTGCAGTATTTGTGGGAGATTTGGTGGCCTGCTTGTTTGATGCTTTTGCGGAGGCTTGCGTGGGAATAGATGCCTCCCAGTCGTCAAATTCATCCCATCCGTCATCTTCCGATTGTGGCGTCGGTGCAGGTTTTGACGCAGGCGGCTTTGACTTGGGCACTGCACCAAAGCTGGCCTTTGCACTCTTCTTGGTAGACACTTGATTTTTCCATGCTGGCTTTTCGCCGCTTATATCTCTCTGACCGCTACTTGGAGGCTGCGGTTGTGATATGCTCATATCCCCGAGTAGATCCACGAGTGCAGATGACGATGTAGCCGGCACTCCTACATTCACCTGTGTCTTTTCTTCGCCCTCAAAGTCGCCAAAGTCGTCGTCATTGTCAAATTCGTCCTCTACGTCGAAGAGCACGCTCGAATCTGCAGGTTTCTTGGCCTTTACAATAGGTGCCGGTTGCCATGTCTGTGTTGAGAATGCAAACGGGTCATTGTCGTTAGAGGTGATGTTCCACGAGTTTGTTTGTGGCTGCGAGGCTTGGGGCGGTGCAAAGGCAAATGGGTCGTGTGGGGTGTTACGAGCTGGCTCGAATGACGAGCCGCCTTCAAAGTCGCCCCAGTCGTCATTATCACCCGTATCGGCCGCTTGCACAGAAGAAGAGTGAAGATTGTGAAAAGTGTTGGTTGATGGTACTTGTTGGGATATTGCGCCGGGGCCTGGAGTGTTGGCCAGATCATTGAAGAAGCTGAAATCCGACGTTGCGGGTGCACCGGGCTTTGTGGATATCGCAGACTGTTGCTGTTGGTCAGAAGGAGCATCAGCTCCAAACTCTGCAAAAAGATCTGCCGACATTGCGAACTTGAAGGCGTGCGAGATGTGGGGTGGAAAAGCAAGGCTGATGTTTGGTCAGGAAGGAGCGGCCAGCACCAACGCCTAAAGAGTGGGCCGATGATTGAAGCTATGAACCCCATCACCATTGCCCTCTACCGTCTTCACATGCCACCAACACATGGGCACCGCTGCATAGAGCTGCAATTATCCATGATTTCAAGTGAGTGATAAAAATGCTTTCTGCTATTGTAATCTTACAAGGATAATGAAATGGCTCAACTGCGACCGCACACCGACTGTCCGCCTGGTCAAGTCTAGTGAATACATATCTTCTGCTTGTGAACTGGCAATACAGAAGGCGCCAGGTTATTGCATCCTTGGCTGAATATCCAAATCCGTCACGTATTGGAGTTTAGTCACGTCTGTAAAATCATCCCTTGTGGGTTGTAAAAGGCTTTGATAAGATGCTAGGATTCTCCGTCTTGGGCTGAGCGCACCAAGCCGTGTCACACAACGAATGCTAGAACACCAGAATGACCAGAACTCCAGAATGACCAGAACAGCCAGAACAGCGTGGTAATAGCCAGAACGCCCAGAATATCAGCTAAGCTGCACCCCTTGTCAGCACTGTCAATGCCTTGTGATGTATTATTATTAGAAGAGATGCCCAAGTCCTCTTTCCCCCCCCCCCCAAGAAAAACAAAAAAATCATAGAGCACAAAAGGAACTACTAAAGTTATGTCCACAAGGCTCTGGAGAGCAGGGTGACAATAAACAAGATCGTAAGCTCAAATGGGAGCATAGGGTATCCAATGTGATAACCAGAAAAGAGAACAAGCCCAGAAAAGGTGCAAAAAGAGCTTAAGCCAAAAGGCAACGGGCCTAATGCAGCTCCAACAAAGCATCCTCGATCTTGTTGAGAACATGGCGCGCGTCCCGGAGAAGCGCACGGAGCGTAGTGTGAGTATCGCGAGGAAGGCTGCGCGGAGCTGAATCTTGAGCCAGGGAAGCCTTGGGGGCCAGGGGAGCAGTGACTGCAGCGGAAGGGAGGTTTGAGAACTTGCGCGGATCATCAAGGCTGACATGATCATGCAAGGAATCGTACCCGGCGGGAGCTCCAGCAGACTTTGCGGACTCACCAGCCGGAGCCTGGAGCTTGCGCTTCTTGTGTTCTGTGTTGGGGATCTCCATCATCCCATCGTCGTTGGCAGGCTCAACTGAAGGATTAATATCCTTGCGCTTACGGGAGAGCGGCTCAGTTGGTGTCTGCTGAGCAGCAGCAGCAGCAGCGGGAGAAGACGCAAAAGACTCAAACGACGAAGATTGAGAAGAGTCCATGGCGTTGCTCACATCCAAGGCCACTGAGAAAGGTACTAAATCAGGATACTGAGCGCGGAGCTCACGAGCAATTGAGCGCGGAAACATCTTCCTGAAGCCGAACTCGATGTAGATAGTCTCCTCAGGCTCGCTTTCCTCGGTCTCAGACTCTCCATCAAGGTCGTGTTCTTGGTCATCTTCTTGGCTGTTCTCTTGCTGAACTTCTTGATGATCGTCGCTTGGATGATCCTCTTGGATCTCATCTTCAGAAGTTCCACGGGCGGTGTCTGTAGATTCACCCTGAGAGCCTTTGGGGGCCCTGAGTCCTAGACTGCTCTTGGACGTTCTGCGAGGACTTTGCTGCGCTCTTTGAGCGCTGAGATGTTAGCACGTGAGCGGGTTGCGAAAGGCCGATTGCAAGGTACGTACCTTCTTAGAGCAGCGTGACATAATTGCGTTAATTGGTTGCACCGCAGTTGTGCCGATAGGTGGGGGGAGGTGAGATTGTTCCGGGGTCTTGTTTCTGATTTGGCAGGTGGGGTAGCTTTAGCGAGGCACCTGAATCGCGCCAAGGCTCGGAGCGCTATCGCCGAAGCTCCGAGCCAAAACAAGCGTCACGTGATCTGGGAATACAGCAGAACAGCTTCGCAAAAGGATTTCACATCCAAAATTCGATCAAACAGAGAAGAATGCTGAAATAAAGCGCGACCAAGCCTAGGGGTAGTTTCGACTCGGGGTAGTGGATAGTAGCTGATGAACCTTTGGTATGGAGTAAAGGCCCTTCAAAGGCTGAGCAATGGATTTCAAACTATATTTGTTCTGTATTCGTGAATCTGGCGGGTGATAGGTGCCCGTTCAGCTTTGTCAATGTATTCGAATCGCGAAACAACAGATATTCATAAAGCAGATACCATTGCAGCACATCATGTGAAACACTCGGTATCAGAAGACCTGTGTATGTTCAGTTCATTGCGGACTTGATTATGCGCACTGGCGTGGATGGATCCACATGACTCTTAGACCCCAGTATCTATCTTTGCTTTGAATGGGGGATTTACATTCAATGATCATTTTTAAGCAAACAACTGGAAAATGGCACATCATCAGCACCAGAGGGGCTCATACTATATAAGTGTTATTAAAGTTGGGTTTCGCCGAGGCAAGTCGGTGTCTGAAGCGACGTCATCAACATGACCTTCAAATCCAGCACTTCTGTTTCCAAAGAACACGAATCGAGTTTCTAGACCCAGTTTTCGAATTAGCCTTCAAATCATTGATATACTATGTATGCCCGGCTCTAAGCGGCTTCCCTACGCACTCAAGGGTAGATCCGGGTAGAGCGGAGATGCATCGCTACCCGGTCTTGCGCTTGGCGGCGAGGCCAGATCAGGAAGCTGACGACATGCAGGTGAATCCGGAGCCTGGGCATCTCCTTGGCCAGCGGTTGAGCGACACTCGATATACTCGATTGCTGTAAGCGTTGGAGTAGATGCAGTGCCGTTATGCAAGTCGTCACAATTCCCTGTTGACTTGCCATTATTGCTCTTAGCCTTTTAGCACTCGATAAGGGTTAAACAGGGATCTGGTTAGGTACTTAATGAATTGAATCAGTAGAAACCGCGGTCACTGAGACTGACCAGGCTTTCCACGTTCAATATGAGATTGTCGAGTTTGGTTGTGGCCGTTCAGTTGGCAGCAGCGTCGCCTTTTACGCACGACGCCGGCTTTCTATCTCGCAGTGCCAAACCAAGCTACGATGGCTACCAAATCTACTCCATCACGCCGTCTTCTGCTGAAGAAGCTCATCAACTTGACAAGCGCTTTTCCAGTTATCACACCCACCCCATCCGCAACACCTTGTCGGTCGCCATCCCACCCAACGAGATTGACTCCTTCAATGCATTGGGGTTGAACGCTCGTCTGGTGAATGCGGACCTGGGCAAGTATATCCGGTCTACTGAAAAGGAGCCGGTGTACAAGCGGGACCTGCACAAGCGTGGCCAGCTTCCTGATCTCTCCTGGTTTGACACATACCATGCATACGCCGACCATTTGGAATACTGGGACGACCTAGTTGAGGCCTTTCCCGAGAACTCGAAAAAGTTTGCGATTGGGCAGAGTTACGAGAACAGAACGATCTGGGCATTCCATTTCCACGGTGACAAGGACAAGGTGAATGGGACTGTTGAGGAAAAGCCCGTTATCCTCTGGCACGCCACGGTCCACGCACGAGAATGGATCTCCACCATGGGTCAGCAGCTCATATCCGCGATGAAAAGCATTTCAACTAACACTCTCAGTTATCGAATACTTGGCGTACCAGCTCATCGACGGGTATCAAAAAGGCGATGCCAATGTGACCAGTTTCCTCGACTACTACGACTTCTATCTCGTCCCGTTTCACAACCCTGACGGCTTCCTGTACACGCAAACCAACGACCGTCTATGGCGCAAGAACCGGCAGCCGCGTCCCAGCCTCAACACGACGTGTCTGGGCACCGACGGCAATCGCAACTGGAAGTTTGAATGGGACGCCACGCCTCCCGACGGCGGCTCCACGCCCGATCCCTGCGGCCAGACGTACCGTGGCGAAGCACCAGGCGACACGCCTGAGAACGCCGCCCTCGACAGCCTCTCGGCCACGCTCTCCAAAACAGGCGCTGGAATCCGCTCTTTCATCGACTTTCACTCTTACAGCCAGCTGATTCTCACGCCTTACGGCTTCTCCTGCGACCCGCTGCCCGAAACCCTGCCTCGCATGCTGCAAGTCGCGGGCGGCACTGCAAGGGCCATTATGGAGGCCAGTACCAGGAACGTGACGTATGAGTATGGGCCTGGGTGCCAGATTCTGTATTTTTCCACGGGAAACTCCAGAGATCACCATTATGCTGTGCATGGGGCTGAGCACTCTTGGACCATGGAGCTGAGTCCAAGGGACCAGGCGGGAGGCGGGTTCGTATTGCCTCCGGACCAGATTTGGCCGACGGTCAAGGAGCAGTGGGCGGGGCAGGTGTGGATGTTGAATGATATTTGGGTGGGCTGAGTGGTTGGCTTGGTAAATTGAAGTGAAGTGTTTGTTAGAAGAATAGATGAATGAGGATTGTCCAGATGGATAGATGATCAATTCGCTTCGAAGAAGACTAGACGGGGAGTTGTCCATGTTCATTTACCGGAACCTTGGCTAGACTCTCCTTACACCTACTGTTCAGTCACACGTTCAGGTGCCCTGTATCCTGCCATACTTGAATACTGGAAGTCTAGAAGAGCAACATTACAGGTATAGCAGCCGAGTATTCGAAGATGACCAGCACTTGTGTTCATGACAGTGTGGTCGTGTTTCTTTTATGTTTTATTTATCACGTGCCAACAGGTACGAAGATGTGGATGAGGAAGAGGAAAACGATTGTGACGACATGAGCACTTTATCGGACGTCGAAATCGTACAGCAAATCCGAGTCCGAGCCTATACTACATATATTGTCATCGTGCCCGCCATCTTGACTAGCAGATGCTAGAGTCTTCGATATTTTGCATATAGTCATTTAGCGCTGCATCGCGAAAGTCGGCATGCGTATCCGGGTGCTCTAAAGCAGGCAGGTATTTGACATTCGGCTTGCTCCGATGTTCCCACTCGGGATTGGTGCCCTCCGACGCAGGACTCTCACAGTAGGACTGGAAATAGGAGGCCAAAAGCCTCATCCTTCAATGCTTGAATCATTCGCTTCTCAGCGGTGCTCTTTAGGAACGTAGCTGGCAGCCACTGGGTGTTTTCCGTTGCAGAAACCTCGTAGACACAAAGAAAATAAACATGTCATTGGTTTGTAAACTGGTAAGCAGCCTCCGGCATGGTGGTAGTGACAAGCCCCCGGTGTGGTGGTGGACATAGCAAGATGGTCAAGTTGCTGCACGTGCTACTATGGCACGAACTCGCCATGTAGCGACCTGCTCCACTCACTCTCCGAGGACTGCCTTCTTGGTACGTAACGTCAGAAAATTTCACCATCGAGGTGTATGCTCAATCTGTCTATACATCTCCGATCCCTCTCGTCTGGGCTGTTGGAATTCAAGTATGACAATGGTATCAGTATAGCCACCACGGGTGGGAGCGAGGCTTGATTCCAACGCCGTTCGTCATCGGTAGAGGACGGCCAAGGCGGGGCTCGGATCTCCAAAGGAGGCGTAGATAGTGGGGGGGGGGATGACGGCGCAGGGTGAGTCAACAGAGACGCATTGTTCTGGCTCCTTCAACATCAACCATGGGCAAAATGCGGTAAAGAGAATCGAGGCAATGGCTAGTGGCAGAAAGCAGGAATGAACACGGTGGTGTGCATGAAGGGGGGGCAGCATCGCCGCCAAGGCCACATTAGGCTCCGCTAGTGGTGGGGCTGGGTACACAGTATGATGGCAACCTCAAAGTACCCCGCCAAAAGTTTTGCAGTGCGGCAAAACTGAAACCCGGGCTGCCTCATTGCGAGCCCAATGCCGCAGGTGGAGCAGGTTTTTTTGAGGTTTTTTTTGCGGGCGAGACACCAAGTCACGAAGCTGCGTGTGTAGATGTAGTGTAGCCAGGCAAGGCAATGCCGCCATGGACGCCCACGCGTGCTGCCATGCGAGGCCCAAAGGTGACGATGCACACCCAGACTCGCGTGAGGCAACTGCGGCTGTGGCGAGCCTGCCTCGGGCGGTCAGGCGTGCTCAAAGGGCTCGACGCGGCCCACAGCCAATCATGCGCGCGTGTTTTGCCTCTGTGGCAGTCCAAATCGTTGCCAGTGAAGGAGTTTTCGTAGCCCAACCGGGGGCTAGCGCCTAAAACTAGCACGGACCCACCACGCCTCCCAGCTATATTAGCAAGACGGCCCCTCCACTGCTCGCTTTCTCCTTCGTCCAGCTCATACCTTACACCGCGCGCTGTAAATCTGAGTATCCAACAGCCTCCTCTTTACCTCATCTTCAATACACACATCACACCACCGCCGCCATGGGGTAAGTTGCCGTGGCCCCGCCCCGCGCCGTGCACGGCGTCTGGCTGTGCGACCATTTCTGGGTCGCCACTGCCGTTTTTTGCCTCAACACGATGGACTGACACACGGTGCAGTAAGGAGAAGATTCACATCAACGTCGTCGTCATCGGCCACGTCGACTCCGGAAAGTCGACCACCACCGGACGTAAGCCTCCCCCCCTCTCCGACCGACTGCGGGGTCAAATAACTTACACTGGGATGCAGACTTGATCTACAAGTGCGGTGGTATTGACAAGCGTACCATTGAGAAGTTCGAGAAGGTACGGCATGACTTTTCCCTCACCTGCAGCACAGCCGCTGTCTGCTGCCTGCAGTGTCCCCTCTGAGCGCGCCGCCATTTTTCTGGCTTATCGCGATGAGGGGCATTTTTGGGTGGTGGGGTTGTGCGAACTTTTACGCGCTAGCGCTAGTCCGCATGCGGCCTTCGCGAACCGCAACACCATGACGCACATGGGATATCCCACACACCACCTCATCAAAAGAAATCGCACAGCACTACCAAATGCTGTTTGCAATTTGTTATGACAAGGCGACGCACTCTTCTCTGCATGGTTACTGACTAGATTGCAGGAAGCCGCCGAACTCGGAAAGGGTTCCTTCAAGTACGCATGGGTGCTCGACAAGCTCAAGGCCGAGCGTGAGCGTGGTATCACCATCGATATCGCCCTCTGGAAGTTCGAGAGCCCCAAGTACTACATCACAGTTAGGTGAGTATCCTATCGCTTCGCTACGTGCTTCACGATGCTAACATTCTGTAGTATGTTGACACCTTCACCCACTCGGCAGTGAACATGACGCAGCAGTGAGATCCATGATAAGCATGTTCAACCACTGACACTCTACTTAGTCGACGCCCCTGGCCACCGTGATTTCATCAAGAACATGATCACTGGTACCTCGCAGGCCGACTGCGCCATTCTCATCATCGCCGCCGGTACTGGTGAGTTCGAGGCTGGTATCTCCAAGGATGGTCAGACGCGTGAGCACGCCCTGCTTGCCTACACGCTCGGTGTCAAGCAGCTCATCGTCGCCATCAACAAGATGGACACGACCAAGTGGTCCGAGGACCGTTACCAGGAGATCATCAAGGAGACGTCCAACTTCATCAAGAAGGTCGGCTACAACCCCAAGCACGTTCCCTTTGTGCCCATCTCCGGCTTCAACGGCGACAACATGATCGAGGCCTCGACCAACTGCCCCTGGTACAAGGGCTGGGAGAAGGAGACCAAGGCCAAGGCCACTGGTAAGACGCTCCTCGAGGCCATTGACGCCATCGACCCCCCCAGCCGTCCCACCGACAAGCCCCTCCGCCTGCCCCTCCAGGACGTGTACAAGATTGGTGGTATTGGCACGGTCCCCGTCGGTCGTGTCGAGACGGGTGTCATCAAGGCCGGCATGGTCGTCACCTTCGCGCCCGCTGGTGTCACCACTGAAGTCAAGTCGGTCGAGATGCACCACGAGCAGCTGACCGAGGGTGTCCCCGGTGACAACGTCGGCTTCAACGTCAAGAACGTCTCGGTCAAGGAGATCCGCCGTGGCAACGTCGCCGGTGACTCCAAGAACGACCCCCCCAAGGGCTGCGAGTCTTTCAACGCCCAGGTCATTGTCCTCAACCACCCCGGTCAGGTCGGTGCCGGCTACGCACCCGTCCTCGACTGCCACACCGCCCACATTGCCTGCAAGTTCTCTGAGCTCCTCGAGAAGATCGACCGCCGTACCGGAAAGTCTGTTGAGAACTCCCCCAAGTTCATCAAGTCCGGCGACGCCGCCATTGTCAAGATGGTTCCCTCCAAGCCCATGTGCGTCGAGGCCTTCACTGACTACCCTCCCCTTGGTCGTTTCGCCGTCCGTGACATGCGTCAGACCGTTGCCGTCGGTGTCATCAAGTCGGTCTCCAAGGTCGACAAGGCCGGCAAGGTCACCAAGGCCGCCCAGAAGGCTACCAAGAAATAAGCGCTCTCTTTTCGGGTTGCTTGATTCTCTTCTTTCGTCTCTAGATACCTGCTTCTGGGGATGTGGTTGCTTCGGAAAAGCTGTGATGACTTTTGAAACGTGTCATGCATAACGGTCTGGGGTCCTGGCGTCGTCCTTCCATAGTTTCCATAATGATCCAAATGAAAACATGGTGGGCAATGAATGAATACCGCGTTCATTGTGACATGTGGATGCGGCTGAGGTTTTGCAGTTTGGCCGTGTTCCTATTCTTGTTTCCGATATCTGAGGCTGGCATGTGGGGTTGCTCGTCATCACGTGAAGCCGTCGTTCCGGTCATCTCTCATATCACATATGTAACATACGACGCATGCTCAGCAAAAGAGGCCAGGCTGTCCAGATGATCCAGGTATCGCTAGGCCCATGGTTGTTATCGGGATACCAACCTAGCCATGTTTCGTGTACTGTATAAGCTCAACGCTGCACAATACAGACCAGATAAACTGTTTCCCTGGTAATGCTGCTAGTCACAACAGTAACTACTCAGAAGCTAATAGGGATGAAGGGGATGAGAAAGGAGATAGATTAACAAGTAAACAGACCACATACTACCAGCAGTGATCTAAGGTTCGGTAGAGACATGCGCTTCTGCTAACAAACGCATAAATTATAGGAGTTAGACAAACAGCGTTTACTCTCGTACAAAGATATGATAGCTATAGACTAAGATGAAGTGATTTCTTTTTTTTCTAGACAAGTCCACAAGAGTAGTAAAACTGTGCTACTACATATTGCGCAAAGGACATACCCTACAATTTTCTAATGGCAATCAAAATCTCCCTTACCTGCCGCAAAGCGAGACTTCTTAACCCACAGCTCTTGCAATAGTTGTATGCTTGAGATTCCAAGTTAAGTACACATCTTCTCTACAACCTCAGCGCAGCCCCTCTTCGGTCTGTATCACTTCATCTACACCACCAGTTTTCAGCCTCGAGCAGCATTTGCGCATTGTCGCCCTCACGAAAACACTACCACAAGCCTGCGAGCATTCAATGCCCTAGCGCGAAATCGTGCAGCAAATCCGAGTTCCAGCCTACACCACGGTCTTTATCATTGTGCCCGCCGTCTTCACTAGCAGATGCTGCAGGGGCAGCAGGACAAGAATCCTGGGCTCTCTATCTCTATTCTGCAACAAAGCTAAACAAGAAAGGGTGAGTTCTATATTAAGCTGTGGTGACAGGTAATGCCTAGAGCAGCACAGCACAGCACAGCACAGCCAGCAATTCTCACAGAGCAAACTTCCCACAAGTAGCATCATCTTTTCCCGCCAAGCGAGTTTCAAGCAGCCAACAGCAGCGACCGGCAGATTCACAAAAGAATATTTAGTTTGACTGTCACTTTGCGCCAGGGACGAGTGCGACGACATGCACAATGAGGCTGACTGCTTCTCCATGGTTTTTCTTATTGCATGAGATTCTGGACATCCGTAAGCCCTTGTAGATACTAATCATGTGGTTGGAAATCTCAAGGTTATCTTGCAATACCAGGCTGTTGCAACACCTGCGTCACTGCTTCGATTGAGTCAATCTCTCTGCATTTTTTGATGTATCCATGTTGCCCATTGCACGCCTTCACTTGAGAGCTCACGATAATGGCCCGGCTGCCAATTTGAGGCACGAATTCTGCATTGCTTCAACCCATTGATACTTATCACAGCAGCCCACGCAGTATACTACAGCTGCCTGTTATCAACAAGAGAATTAGTACTATGCCGTAAACTATAAATGGTTATTGAAGAACGATATTTAAGCCATGTCCGCATGGAGGTGACTTGCAACCGCACTTAGATACTACCGCAGTATGGACCAAGCTTCAAGCATGCCCTAATCAAGTAACTACCAGAAGTACCTAATCAAGTAGACCAGTGGATCAGAAATGTGTGGATTAGTGACTGCATATCTATAGCTCGGCATCTCTATATATTCCAATAGGGTTTGAGCCTTTGAACAGCAGAAGCAATCAGGCCAGTTATCTCTCAATCCCATCCATCCGCTTATCAATCCATCACCTTACCCACCGATACACATGTTAGAGATTGCATCTTACCAACACGATTGCTAAAGCCCTACTCGTTTGCTCTCCTGCCTTCTAAAATTCCACACCAAACGCATCCATGTCCACCACCCGGCATTGCCCCGTACAAGCTCGCTTGGAGTGAAATTTTACGTACAAGGCCAAAGATTCGCGATACGCACAACTCTCTACATGCATAATGTACTAATAAAGAGCCTTTACAACCAGCCTTCACAAAAGCAAGGCGCCACATCCTTTGTTCCATGAGTGCTTTCGACGTGCTAACGCAGCGCATTCCGCAACGCAGGATGCTGCACAGTATCCGATAACGGCGAGATAACATACCATGTACCTTGTACACAATATATAGACTCTACCACAGTCGGTGTTTAGGAAGAGCGATGGGCTTCGGCAATACCACAGACGGTTCAAAAGTTGATGGGATTGCCTTGACGACTCCAGGCAGTGACATATGCAATGCGCCACATACAGTATTTACTACAAAACAAATTGACAGGACCATATATAGAACACGCATATTTTCTTCTGTGGCACGCACAACCCTCTTGTTCTTCGCAACATCCGACACAAAATGGAACCAGTTCCAAAAATCAGAGCACGAACAACATCATGGAAACGAACAACAATTAAAAAAAAAGATTGAAACGAACCAGCACACTGCGAGCGCAAAAAGAAACTAATATGATCAGCACTGATGATTTGACCTAACCAGGGGTCGAACCTGGAATCTCTTGATTTATCGAACCAAATCGTAGTCAAGCGCCTTGCCATTGGGCCATTAGGCCAGTTGAGTTACTGGTGATGGACAATATTGTGATTGTTGGAAATATATTCACTAGTAAAATTGAGAATTTTCAAACCGCGGGGTTACGTACACCCCCATACCAACGTCGCTCGCCCCCACCATAGCCTCTTCTTCTCCAATCCGACCCGCGCATCCCAAATACCTCCGTATCTCGTATCTCGTATCCTCCAACCATGGCCTCACCGTGGATCGGGCATTCCTACTCGCTCTACCCTCGCAACACCTCAATTGTGCCTTGAAACTTTGCTACAGGCCGATCCCCCCCACTTCAGCCTTCCCGTAACTTCCTATCTATTTTCTCTCTCGATCAGGCAGCCACGCACTCTGCGCGACGCGACGCGACATGGAAACCGGGCAGAACAGTAGCACAGCGTATACGGCTCGACCACTTACGGCGCAGTTTGACAGCGGGTCGTTTGTGGTAGGCGGGGGCGTAGCGATTTTCCACGTTGCGAGCGGGCGCGTGGTGCTGTGTAGCTATGAGTCTCGGGGACGCAAGGCGTATTTTCTGCCCAAGGGGCGGCGGGATGCCGGTGAGGAGAGTGGAGTTGGGGCGGAGAGAGAGGGGTTTGAAGAGGTATGTTTGTTTTGGTGAAGGGTGTGGTGGAAGAGGAGGAGAAGTAGCACCAAGTAACGTGTCAATTAGGAGAGGAAAGACTGAAAGAAGAGGAAGAATAAACGCCAGAAGAGAAAGAATACGATGCTAATGCCATGGGAAAAAGTCAGGATACCGTAACCGTCTTCTCCCCCTCCCAACGCGCCACTGCCAACCCCAAGCGCATCCTCGCATCCACGCCCCAAAGTCAACCGCTGAGCCTGTTCTTCTGCAATTAATGCCCCTACGCCACTACCAGTACCTCGTGTATTGGTACATTGCGGAGACGCTCCCACCATCGCTGGAGGCAGAACTCGAAACACCGCCTGGGGCACCGTACAAGGCGCCGCCAGCGTACCCGCAGGACCTCTCTTTGCTCGACCGAATCGCGCAGGAGCCACAGGGGTATGAGCCTGTGCATCACGAGAACACGGGCGTGGACGAGATGGAGAGGCAGTACAAGAGCGAGCTGTGTAGCGTGGAAGATGCAGTGCGGAAATTAGGGCGTGGACAGGGCATGGGTGCTGCGATGGCAGACGTGGTGAGGAGGGGGTGGGAGGGGATTCAGAAGAGGTTAGCCATGGAGAGTACGGCTACGCATGAGAGTCCCGAGGCGGCGTGAAGCACACGTATGCACACTAGAAAACACAGTAGCGTGTGAGCATGGCTGCAGTTGAACCAGACTACTGCTGCTACACCCAGGTATGCTGTGTACTCAAGATACGAATCCAGACTCTCGACTCTGTCCGCATACGGATAAACTCCAGAGAAGCACACCCATCCATGCATCCATCTTGATCCTACCACCAACCCTTCTCCGAGCCTGGAAAATGCAAATACCTTGGCAGCAGAGGAGCAAAAAAGCCCTGTCCATTTACCCGACGGCCAGCTCCACCGTACCCTCTCCCATTGGCAACCGTCCATCCATTGCATGGCCATCCGCACATGCAAACAGGTTCACACGCTCGGGACTCGCACAGTTGGGGTATTAGCCTAGCCACGCCTCTGATAACTACAGCACATATACACACCACACACATACATACAAACATACATACCAGGCTCATTACTCCTAGCCCCGATCGCAAAACCTCCCTCTCTCGTCATGTGCGCCTTCGCCCGGCCGCGCTCTGGACCATCGGCGCCGACGCCCTATTTTTCCTCCAAGCCGGGTGCCGAAGATTGGCTCGGCAGGGCTGATAAGTGACGCAGGTATGGACCAGGGAATATACATGTGCAAGTGAGAGGGATGGGGGTTCAAGGGTTCAGGCATGCACCTTGCAGGCTAGATGAAGCATGTAGATATTTTGCTTCGGTCTTTTCCGTGCCGCTTGGCTCAATTTTGCTTTTGCATGGGCAAGGCTACTACTGTTGCGGCAGGTGAGTAAGGCAGTTGGATGAGAAGCGGAAGAAAGAAAAAACAGGGCTGTGTATTGACAGCGCAGGGGTGGACTAGTGGTAGTGGTATGACAGCGCGCGATGGGGAAGTCAAGAAAGATGAGAATATGCATGGACATGACAAAGATGCCGGGGCAGAGCGATACTGGTAATAGTGTGCGGAGTAAATAACCTACCGAGACAAAGACGTCAGTACACATTCCATTCCTGGGGCCCATCTTAGTCTTAATCATGGCGATAACGACGCATGTTCGCTTCACGCGCTGCATATGTATGTTTAATATGCAGCCTACGTCGATGTACTGGTGTACGTACATACATAAAAAAAAAAGCCGCGATGCAAGCACAAGCAGACCGAATGTGGCCGAACAGGCCCGAACTGTGGCGTCGTCCGGTTCATGCCCCTAGGTGAAATGACAGACATGGCCGTGAAACCAGAAACGCAAAAGAAAAGAAAAGAAGAGAAAAAAAAGAATTAAGAAAACACGGCATATGCTTCGGTAAGTAATCAAGGGAATATATGGCTCTCCCACACACACAGACATGCTTATGTTGATGCATGCATGCACGCACGGCGAACGGAACTGTCTCCGATCTCTCTACTACCACTACTAATCTTGTGTTCCTTTATTTTTCTTTTTCTTGCAAATCAAACTCCGCGTTTCACAAAATAAAAAATAAAAAAGTCCGCCCAGTTAGTTTAGTTTTGCACCGCCACCCAGGCACCCCCCAAGCTAAGCATGAGGAAGAAAAAAAAAACAGCAACAACAATAAACGACAACACCACCAACGACTAACTAACTCACTCACTAACGCATAAAAGTTGACAAGGATATTAAAGAAAGAAGAGCAAGTATTACCGTATGACTATGCAGAGACTTATCTACGCCCATGTTTATTTTTGGGGGGGGGGGGGCGCCCAGACAAGACAAGACAAGACAAGCCAGCCCGCCCGCTCTCCTCGTGTAGCTGTTGTACTTACCCATGTATCTGTGTAAGTATGTGGGCTGACGTGCTTGAACGCGCCACACAAGGTATACTGTAAACGACATAGTTACGCGTAGAAGGCGGCGCACGCGATAAGGCCGCGCGGGCAAAGTCCAGATGCAGGTATACACTTTTGCTACGTACGTAGTTGACTGGCCTGCGCATAGCCATCCATCCACAGACAAGTAAGTAAGTAAGGAAGTGCACAGATGGTATGGTATGGTGTAACACACGGATCTCCTCACAGCATCCCCGTTATCCGCCATCACTGCATCACCGCATCATCATTACCACTCGGGCGACGCATGCAAACGTTTTACACCGAGCCTTGTATAGCCCCGCGGTCATAGCAATAGCAATAGTACTTCGCAGCAGTGAGTATGCAGTACAGCTAGTAAGTAGTAAGTAGGACACATACTAGGTACATATCCGAGAAATCAGCCCATGGAAGAGGAGAGAGAAAAAAAAAGTGGCGCAGACCATGCATATATCCACATGATGCATTTGCATTAATCAGATCCCGTCCCAGCTCGCTGCCTTAGCCTGCCTGATGCATGTTTGCCAGGGGGGTGGTGGTGGTGTTGGTGTTGTTGTTGCTGCTTCGGAGTCGGGGTCGGGCTTCGGGCTGACCAGTCACCCGCGAGCAAAGTAAGTAAGTCACCTCAAGCCAAAGGTGACCTGAAACGGGCCGCGTGGTTTTATTTTGTTGCGCCGGCGCCGTAGTCCAGCCTCTCCTCCACTCTCCTTCCGTGTCTCTCCACCTTTCCGAGTCTCGAGCCCTAGTCTCCCAATCACAGTCACAGGCATAGTCACAGGCAGAGTTCCAGGCGACTAAGTGAGTGGGAGTGGAGTCGATGAGGTGGATGGATGAGTGGAGTACAGTACGTACACGTACGTGGATAACGGAGCAGA